TATAGATTACGAGTAAAGCATTCGATAGAGTGAAGCATTAGAAAATAATGAAAGATCTTAAACAACTGGATATTGATGAAAAAGACAAAAGGCTTTTAAACAGCTTGTATCGGGAACAGATTGCAGCCATCTCATTAGATGGCGAGTTAAATAGCTGCACAAAAATCAGGCGAGGCATTCGGCAAGAGTGTTTTATCTCCCGACTTGTTTTCCTTATATGCAGAACGATTATAGAAGAATGATTATAGAAGGAAAATTCAAAGTAAATGGTCAAGGTATTTCCGATGAAAGATATACTGACAACACAGTCCTTATGTCAGATGACATGCAAAATCTCCAAGAAATGTATACATCTTCAATGATAGAGAACGAAGCTAGAGGCCTAAATATCAATAAAAAATCAAAAGTTATGGTTTTTAGCAAGAGTAAAACGAATCCAAAATGTGACATATATTTAGACAGTGGAAGAATTGAACAGGTTCAAGAGTTTGACTATTTAGGAAGCATTCTGACAAGTGATGGTAGATGCGAGAAGGAGACTAGGAGAAGACTAGCTCCCCTACGAAGCCCACTACGCGAGCTTGCCAGTGGCCCTACGGTAGAGTATGCAGATTAGTCTCGGAAAAGACAAGAGGTGTATTTACCTCGATTTGAAAACAAATTGTCTCCGCACAGGTCACGTGATAAAAATTACTCGCGCTCCTGTGACTATCGCTAGTCAGGGGGTCGCCTGAGATAATTGAACAGGTTCAAGAGTTTGACTATTTGGGAAGCATTCCGACAAGTGATGGTAGATGCGAGAAGGAAATTAGAAGAAGAATTGCGATTGCGAAGAAAAAGTTTATGGAGAAAAGAGCAGTCTTTGTTAATAACAAGTTGTCAATTGAAACGCAGAAGCGATTTACTAAATGCTACATCTGGTCAATTTAATTGTATTGAAGTGAGGCTTGGACCATCAATAGAAAATAAAGAATAGGCTGGAAGCAACGGTGATGTGGTTTTATCGAAGGATGTGCAGAATACCTTGGACAGATATGGTCTCAAATGAAAAGGTTTTGGATAAGGTGAAGGAAAAGATAATGCTTTTGACAACAGTTTTCCAAAGACAGCTGAGGTTTGCGGGACATGTCGTCAGAGAGGATGGTCTTGAAAAATTGGTACTGGAGGGTAAAATTGAAGATGTTAACGCGAGAGGGCGGCAGAGAAAGGTACTTTCTGATGATTTGGCGTTGAAGGCAGGAAACCTTAAGAAAGGGGAGCTTTTATATCTTGCTCAGGATAGCAAGCGGGTCAGACGAGTAGTCGCCAACGTCAGTGTCTGACATGGTACTGCAAGAAGAAGAAGAAAAAGAATTTGAAAATTATGTACCATGACACAAATTTCCTTTTAAAAGAGCTTTTTCAACATTTTAACAATTAGCATAAGGAAATTTTTTTTTCGATAAAGAGAGTGTAATGTCTTGGTTTGAAAGGAAAGCTCCAAGTCTAAACTCTTGTACTTGAAAAAGGGTTGCTGGTCATTCTAGATCCTATCATTGACCATACATACATTTTATCATATATTTCTATCATAAGAAAGTGTCGTCTCAATTTGAGCAGATGAACAAAGTTTTGTGAATGGAATAACAATTAAAATCTTATGAAAGAATCATGGACAATTATTGTACTTTCCAACGATATGCAAGAAGTACCTTGCAAAAATGCAAGTTAAATTCATGGATTGAAGAGATTTTATATATAGCAGGGATGAAGCTAACCAGAAGTAAATACGGGTGTTTATAATCTTACCAAAAACTATCTTTCCTAAGTTTGATCCTAATGCACAAGTTCTTACTTCTGCTTAATAAGTAATCACGAGCCTAAAAGAAAAAAATTAAAGTCCCCTGATTTAAAGTAATCTGTTTGCGATTAATAAATCTGCTCTGAACATTTGCAATAGTTTTCACCTATATAGAGGTGAAAAGAAAAACATTTTCTGCGGGTCACAACCGAGTTTTTTTTGTAATGTATACCATAAAATATTGCATTTCAAACGCAAAACCTCTGTTCACATAGGTAGATACAATCAATTCACAATATTTCAGCGCTGTTAATATACCGATAGGCTGCTGGTTTACAAAACGAGAGGTGAACGAGATGAACAAAGAAAGGTCTAAAAATAGTGTAGGGTGAAGTTTTAACTAAAGATACTAGATAAATTGTTTCTAGTGTCAAGATCACCCATTTCACGAATAGGGGCCACATGTTGATGGGACCTAGAGCCTCTAATGCAAATTACTGCAGATCTACGTAAACAAAACTCAGCTTCCCTTTGATCCAGGGGGACTTTTCACAAAAACTTAGGTTTATTTTTCTGCAATCAGTTCCAACACATGTTGCAAAAAATTCCTCGTGTCAATACTCATACCACCATTAAATAAAAAAATCAAAGGGGTTAAGTTCAATTATCTTCATTCTTAACAACCTTGTTGTATTTTCGCTTTTTCTTCAGCTCCATGGATCTGAAGGGCTTTTATATATCATAGCTTTGGCCTCGTGATTACTTATTGCGCAGAAGTAAGAAATTATGAATTAGGATCAAACTTAGGAAAGATAAGATTATAGGAAAGGATGTTTTGGTAGGATTATAAACACCCGTATAAAATTCTGGTTAGCTCCATCCCAATTATGTCTAAAAACCTCTGTTTACAGATTCCCTTTCACATATGTCAAACCCCTTCTAGAATTCGATTGATCCATCGTAAACAACACGCCACTGCAGTTACTATCAATAGAAGGTGGAAAGGCAAGGCAGGAAATGAAATATATATTGTGTAACTATCACCCAATGAGAGCAATTGCTGTTCAGGTGGGAAAAAGCCCTGGAGAGATTGTAGCCGGGCTTGTAGCAAGCAGTTGTTGCATGACTGATTAGAAGCGGTTCGAAGCTATGATAGTCCCCAATGGGCAATTTGAAGCCTTGCTACTGTCTTGCAATGATTACATACTCTCTTGTGACGTCAGATTAAAAATGTCATTGAGCAACTGCAAGAAAGCGTAACGTTCAGAACGTTTATACTTGACATTCTCCAAAAGGAATTAGCTGTGACAGAAAAAAAATTGGTGGGTAGAATTCTATTATTCATGCTATCAACATGAAATGTGGAAGGCAGAAGTACTCTTTCAACTGCTAAACGCTGTAAGTACACTAATAGATGTAACATAAACACTTTTAAAGCAAGCCGGTTTTTTAGGAAAACAATAACACACTAGAAGCATTTTGCCATTAGAGGCTAATAGAGATAATTAATTTTTGCAAAGAATCCCCCCCCCCCTCGAATAAGCCCCTGTGAGGGTTTAGGTGGCCCTGGTGCAAAAATAAGAGATTAAGGCCCCCTGCGAGCGGAGCGACCAGAAAATTTTTGCGATCACGCCCTTTTTATCGGCCTAAAATACATTTCAGAGTATTTCTTATAGTCATTTCTTGCATCGTTCAAAACGTTTCAATATTTTGAAGCATTCTTTTGCTCCGTTTCGTTCTTAAAATAGAATTCACTATTTTCTGAGGCCCCATTGACTTTGAGGACTGGGGCAATTTGCCCCCTTGCCCTCCCTCTCGGCAGCTCTGGTTGCAGAGAATCTGCTTAGTAACTAATGATGAGTTTACGCTAAGTCTCGACACAAGAAAGCTTTGCTACTAATTGTCTATGCAGACATAATGACCACGGCGACGGAAGAAACATGCCACTGAGCGTCTTGATCATAACATTTCGGTCCGTTTTTAGGCTCGTAGATGAAAGAGCGATAATGGCCAACAAAAAGAGCAAAAGGAACATCTTCCTGATGGTATTGACTTTTCTGTCAGGGCTGTTGCCAATCGTTACATTCTCAGCATGTTACGTAGCAGCAATGAAGCTAGGGCACCTGGACAAGAGTACAAGAATACCATGGCTAACCGAGCTCGGAGCCTATCCACAAGAAGGAATTTTACTCTCAACAGGTTTCGCGATGACGTCACTTGTCAAAATAACAGTTATTTTTGCGAAATACGCACAAATTTTTTCGCTTGTAAGTCGTCCCTGTCATTTACCGAACACAGTATCTTGCTATTTTGGATGGTTGATGATCTTGGCAGAATTCCTCCTTTCGTCTATAAGACATAAAGACGCTGCATGGGCGCATTACTTCGCCAAAGCACTGTACATGTCGACATGCTGTTTATACCTCACTCTACAGTTATACATAAGCATGCAGCACAGAAACTATTATCGGAGATACCTTCCATACTCTAGGCTGACTCTGACTATCCTTATAATTACGTGTCCTTTCCTGCTTATCGCGGGATTAGTATTTCAGGAGCTACATGAACTGGATGTTCCTCAATGCGCTGAACTGGCTTTTTTTCTTTTGACATCCATTTATTGGATGTCATTATCAGCTGATTTCTACGACAGACCAATGATGGTTTTCAAGCGTTACGAGAGTGCAAAGGATAACACCAAAGACTGTTTACGATGCAGGAAACGTGATAATAGCAAAGCAATTGTATTTCTGAGCGATATCGTGTCAACAGAAATCCCAGAATACTTGGCCTAAATGCGGCAAAAGATGCCAAATTAGCGTTTAAATGTGACTCTTTTTGTCATTGAACTTTAAATTTGTGATGAAGTATACACCCTTTTTTGTAGGGCGTATATATTGAGCGATGATAACAATATTACTGAGTTCATTTTATTCCGAGAGTTCCACAGGTCGAGATCTTGACTTTGATTTCGAATAAATAAATGATAGCAATGCTGCCCTATTCCACTCAAAAATGTCGTCAAGAAAATCGCTATGATTGCATTGTTATCACATTTATCCAAACTATTAACAATGTTTTGGAGGAAATGGATATTGGAAGTAGAAGCATTTGTGAAAGGAAATGAAAATATAATAGTAAGAAAGCTAGGTGTTTTAATTCAATTTCTTGTTATAACCATTGTGAAGAAAACTCTGCCTTTTTTAGAAACGACCATAAATTAACGCACCAAAATTAATCACAAATGAAACATACACGGAAGGATGATTTGTCTTAAAAATTTTAGTCAATGATATTTTCTTAAAAAGGTAGGCGATTTCATGCTTCCCAAACCAGGCAGGGCAGTTTTTCAGAATTTAGATCGACGAGTCGAAAATATAAAAATCTACTTCATCTCGGTTTGTTATGGCTGTTTCTCTGTTTCGATCTTTTAACAACTTCCCATCCATCGTTGTCGCCGCCATCCATTTGAGGAGCATCATCTATCAAAGATAACCAGCTTTCATTCCAGCCCCATAAGAAAAACCCCAATCAGCCCCATAAGAAAAACCCCAATTAGCCCCATAAGAAAAGCAGAAAGCGCACGGATAGTCACTCAAAGAAATGGTTCCTTCTTTGCTTTCACAACAGATTCTATGAACTTGGAACTCACCTTAACCAAAAACCATTAGCTTTCGAAAATAAACATCTTATAAAAATGAATTCATACCATGTAACACAGATCACTGCCGCTATTAAAAATTGAACAGAAAAGTGTTGTCACTGTATCACGACGGCAAACATAAACAATTTGTTTCTGGAAAGTTTTTATTGCTAGCAAGAATAAAAATTCTTTCGCTAGAAAGAATCAGAACTGAAATTATTCCATCACAATGTCATGTCGGTCAGACTGCTTCAAACCTTCAACAACTCCCCTCTGGACATAAGCAAACATGCTTTTAACAAAAAAGGGGGCATATCATATTGCATACCAATTGGTACCAAAACATCAACAACTTTTTTTACTGAGTACTTGCTACAAAAAAGATCTGTTGACTTACCAACATCCATGCTTTCCGTGTTCTCTTGATTCTCAGTACAATTGTTGTCGGTTCCCGTTTCTGTTGCCTTTTCATCTTCCTTGAAATAAAGATTTTGACAAAATAATTGAGCTGCAATGATATCATTAATCTAAACAAAATAATATTGCAAAAATTAATGAAAGAAAGAGCCTGCTAACTTCTCTATCCTGGAAATTTGAAAAGCTTACCTGAACATCATCATCTGAGGCATCATGACTGGCAGCTGCTACTGAGACACTTGGAAAGGTGGGCGGTGGCACACGTAACTGATCCAGTACTTTTGAAAACTGACCACTTTCACAGAGCTGACTGAAATTGCATATTTTCTCCACAACCTAAAACAATATCTCTTGAAAAACAGCAATGACAGCAGAAGAACACTTTAGAGTTTAGATGTAAGAGTTATTGCAGTGAGCAAACTGATTTGGAGACCACGCCCTGCAAAACTGAATTACTTATTTACAACTTATTTTTGATGATGATGTTAATGATGGTTATTTTGATAATTATTTGACAATATTTGATGGTTATGGTAACAACAATTATGATAGTAATAATGGTTATGAAAAAGATAAAATGTTGATTAATCCAGATGTCAAACTACATCTCAAGCAGCACAGACTTATTGGATTGATAAATAGATAGATACAATACAAAACAACTGCCTTTAGCTGTATCATCTTCTCACAGTTAAGCTGCACTGGTTTAATAGATAAACCATCTCAGAGCTTTCACTGCAATGATGAAATTGTTTTGTTCTGTAGCTAGTACCAGTCCCTCAAGTGGGGCAAACCAGAGAAAGTTTATGGTGAAAGGAGGCAGTTTTTGAGTTTTTTCAGTCATTAAATTTCTTAAGAATAGAAACAAAAATTCTATGAATTAAAATCTAAATTCTGTTAATAAACAATAGGCCTTGTTCCAGCTACAGAGGAATTTACAAATCTTGATGATATAGGCCACCACTGGATTCATCACCATTTTTGGAACATATGTGTAATGGCATTGCAAACTTTGAGATGGTCTATTGCTCAGTTGATGTAGGATAAATACCTTGGGACATGTTCCATCATCAACTATGATGTCAAACTCATTGAACATACATTCTGATAGATATTCTTCCAATTCATCTGGATAAACATGCCCTGCAAAAAAATATTTTATTAAAATGAGATTATGATAAAAAAGGTTGTTCATTCTCTGATATTATATACAGAGAGTAGTCATTAACTCTTCTAGCCAACTTGTGTCACTTTTCATTAACTCTCCTATCTTGTGTCAAGCATTATCAAAATGCCATATTGCTTGGTACCTTAAAAAATATCACTTTTCATCTTTAAGCTGATTTCTTTGACTACATAATTCTCATAATCAGGGACCTGGTGGGAGTTGAATTTGTTTGTTGTCCAGGGGGCTAAAAGCAATATTTTTCTAAAAATTGTGACAAAAAAGCAAAATTGCTGAAATTCTCTGGCAAATTTTGTAGGGGGGATGCAGTGATCTTCAGGAGTTGGAAACAGGCTATGAAAAGAGAGATGTGAAGGTCTGATTGTAAAAATTAAGGGATTATAACAGGTGAAAATGGTGGAGACCTATATTGACTAGTGCCCTTGTGGAGTAGGTAGTAGGGGTGTTGGAGTTGATTCTGTCCTCTGCATAGAGTGCAAGAAGTGGTGCCAAATGAACTAAGACAAAGAGAGATATCACAGGTTTGCCAAGTGTGGATATAAGAAGGTCCAGCAACATCAACAAGCACCTAAAATACCAAAAGAACCAAGGGTACTCGTAAGACGAGCAACAAGACTTTTTTGTTGCAACTTTTTTAAAAAAAACACTGTGAAAGTTTACAACACATTAGCATGGCAAGCTCTTTGTGCCTGCATCCCTGGATGAAGTATATTGCATGTGCCTGTGGGCAATGACTGACAGCTAATGGGATGATTCCTTGGAAAATGGTGTGGCCAAAAAATCTTGATAAACCAGTACCAAGGGAATACAATAGCCCTATTCTCAGAAGGAGAAGACAGGTTTTCATTTAATGTTGTTTTTTGTAAGATAACAATGAATAATACCAGTTAGGATAGAACTGTGGCTTTTCTGTCAGACTCATTAATGTTTAGCCTCTAATTAAACATCTTTTCAACTAATGAAGACATTTACCTGGAAAGAATTACCATTCCCTCCCCACCCCCTAGAAGTAAACTCTTGGCTTATCCTTGGCTTTATTTCATATTCTTATCTGGATTGCCAAAACTGTGTTGTGTTTAATCTGCCTTTAAAACAATACACACAGAAAGTGATAAGTGCCTATTATAAAAGAATAGCAAAATATTTAAATGCAGGGCTGTAGAAGAATGAAACTCAGAGGGGCTGAGCCCCCTTCTGCTTTTTGAAGCATCATCAACGTCATGCCCCCAATAGTATCCCAATAGGAAGTTTCAGGCAAAATCTGCTTAGTTGAAGAAAGGTTTTAGGTAGTTCAGAGACATTCATGTCTTAAAATCAATAAAGAATCAAGCAAAGGCAGTTGCCCTGTTGGTTAAGTATGATATTCCTTGATATGGATGAAGGTAAACAAACTAAGCATTAATGATTTGAAGATTTCTTGTTGACACTAAATCCAAAAATCCAGACCCTGTCTAGGTAAAACTGCGCCTAGTGTCCATTTCTCCTAAAATTTCTCAGTGGAAGCAGTAACTGCAATTCACTATGAGCTCCAGATTTTGACCAGTCATTTTTTTATCTGCTGTTAAATTTGTTTGCAAAAATAAAAGACTTTTCAATAGGATTAGGAATTTTGTAAATTTGATTAAAAGAGTGCAATTTCCAGGGAACTAGAACCATCAAAATTAGAAAATTTGCTGCTCTTTCAGCAGCAACCGTAGTGCCGCCTCGGGTAGCAACTATATCATTTGCCTGTCCTGATATACAGCTTTGACAAAACCATAAGAAAAGTCTGTTATTAACATATAAAAAGAAAGTTGTGAATCAAATGACACACAGTTAGATTGACAAAATGTAATGCAGAGGTTTGTGCCAGCAACTGAAGAATTTCAGGTAATTATTTTTTTTCAGGTAAGTTTGTAGTCCACAACTCCCAACGCACCAACAAGACTTGCCTTGCCAAGGCCCTGTCGAGGAGGCATGCAGGGGGAAACGATTAAAAAGTTCATTTTATATGCAACATAGAGAAAGTGCTATGCCCCCCCTCTTCACATTTTTTTGCTCTACACTACTGCGTAAATGTGATATAAAAATAAATTCATCGAAAAATTTCTTTATACATACGGTTTCCTAAGAACAAAAATGTTATCGAAAAGAAATAGTAGCTATTATGACAGACTGGCAAATCAATTAAAAGTGCCTGATATTACCCATGATTACCCTATACTTGAGAATTCTAAATATTCATACTATCAAAAATACTCTGCTATTTTCAGAGAAATTGTGTTACTCAGGGAAGGTTTTTTAGTAAGAGCAACGATTAAGCAAGACAGAAATAACTCATGATAGGCCTACCTAAATTGTCAATAATAATGTTAAGTAGAGTTTCTAAATCGCACTGGCGAATGTGGATCAATGGTAAGTAAAATTAATTAAAACAGTAAAATAACGTACAGGATTCATTTCACAAGGCAAAATTGCTGTTAGATAGAATTAAAATCCTTTAACAATTTAAAAATAAAAAATTGAAAGAATTGAAATTATGCCATACCATTGTCTTTAAATATTTGAACAATGACATCTAAAAGCCAGTCGATCTTTTCTCTGAAATTGTTCCCACCGAAACCTTGTTGTTGGGCGATATGGAGAGCGGGCCAGCCATCTAGGCTGTGCTTGACTGCCGCATGGAATACACTCCATCTATCCGCCATATTCACACTGAAACAGCAACAACAACAAGTATTAAGAAAATTATCAAATCCCTTTGTCTTGGTTCTGGTGGCGTAGATTGAGAGGGGGGCAGAGGAGTGAAAAACATCTCTGTAACGCTAAACTGCTATTTTGTGGGAAAGATTCTAAGTTTTTTGGAAATTTAATAGAGTTATCTATATCTATTTTTTATGTAAGGGTTACATTTTGAGAGGAAAGATTTTAAGATTTTAAAGAATATGAATACGTAGGGGGCAGACTTTTTCTTTTGGGGGGGGGGGAGGCTCCGGGGCTCAGACCTCTGGGAAATAGCGAAGTTGGCCATCAATTTCTTAGACTAATCTTTCATATTCTTGGTTTAAGACATAAAAATCATCTCAAGAGATTTAATCATGATCAAATAATAACGATGGTGAAAAATGTAAATAAAAATCACCTCCAGCTAGACCTCATTCTACCCTCTGCCATCGGCAGCCTCCATTAGCAATTGCAGTTAATTTTTGAGTCCCACCGCCTGGAAAAAGTATAAGATTGCGCTTATGTATGGATCAACATGAAAAAGCATTTTAAAGATTATGAATAAGCATAAGATTATCTAAATATATCAAAAGATTTCTTCCTTTCAGTTCTGATGTCTTTATATTATGTTCAAAGTTATTGAAAAAATATGAATGCTTGTTGGATTTTATTCCTGAAAGCAAAGTTTCTCGTCCTTCCTATGGATTTTCTGATCTACGCCACTAGCGGTAGCAGGGTTTTGAAAGTAACCCCGGTTCATACAGGGCCCGCACAACTGATTCCCAACTGGAGGGGCCAGCAATTTTAAAGGAAACTTCTTTTTCCCCCTTTAGCTCCAATTGTGGCAATCATTTTGCTGACGTTGGTTTACTTTTTGGGCTGGCTTTGGTTCAATGTATTCGTTGTAACTGAATGGTTTATCTGTATTACACTCTTTTTTTATAAGAACAATTTTATAGGAACACGAGCCTCAAAACTGTTCAAAAGTTAAGAACTAATTAAGAACAAGCTGAGGCTGAGCTTCTGCAAAATGCAATTTTGAACAACGTTTTTTCTCAAAATCGAGGATTTTTAGAGATGTGTGGATGCTTTTTCGGTGAATATTCAAATTTGTCATTAAATTAAGGCTGTCTCACTCACTTTGTTGGCAAATGAGGCCTGAACACCTCCTTAGAGCGAAAAAAGTACCAATAGCACTGCTTACACCCTCTTAATTTAAGAACAAATTAAGAACAATCCAGCCTCAGATTTTCGAAAAAATTAAGAACAGTCAGCCTGAACTTAAATTTACTGGTTCTTATAAAAAAAGAGTGTAATACATTTTAGCTGATTTCAGTCTTTTATTTAGCGAAAAATTGGGGAGGCCATGGCCCCCTGGCCCCCCTGTGGCGTGGGCCTTGCAATGCTGGCTATATTAAAACTAATTTAAACCAACTATATATATAGTGCAGTATATAAACAAATTGCGAATTTAATAACAGCAACAGAAAAAATGAATAACTAAATACATAAATATACAGTAGGTTCCCTGTTATTTTATATAGCCCACTTGTCCTATAAATGGTTTGCAAAGGCGGCATGAGCAAGAAATCGCTGACACAGTTTCGATACTTGCTTTAAAGGTGTTTAGGTGTTAGGAATTGAGAAGTGAGTTCTTTGTGGCCTGAGTTCAATACTTCTTGACATCTATAGGATACAGTGTCTGATCCGTATGCTAAGTGTTTGGTTTATTTCTAGTGAAAGTGAGCCCCCGGAGGTTAAAAGGTGATTCAGTTATGCTAAAAATATCTTCCATGAAACTTGGGTTTTCGTGATGAATAGTTTTGTAAATTTCTGCTGCAAATTGCCTTTAAATTCCTTGTATGGGTGGTAACTGTGTTGTCTTTGAGAGGTAGTTGTTCAAAATTAGATGAAAAGTTTAGATGAAAACTTCTTGAGTCATATCACATCATCCTGAAAACGTAACGAGTATTCGGAAAGGTCGACTTCACCTCTCTGACTGAGTACCAAATGTACCAATATAAATGGGCTGGTTGTAAAACTTTGATTGTCCTTTTTGTTCAATACTTCATCGTTGCAGAATCATTGAGAATACAAAAGGAAAATATTAATCACAAGAAACAAAGGCAAATAAAATAATTGTTTACTTAAACGTGTTTCTTATAATTATGCATAAAATAAGCGTAAAATCTTCGTTCTGACAATGGGCAATCGTCTTCTGAAAAAAATTTTCCTTTTCAAAGACCGCTGGCAAGAAAAAGATTATTCTATTTCTTTATTTCTAATGGAAATTAACACAATGAGACTGGCTAAACCATAGAGATATGAATATAAAAATTCCTGGCTCTATGGGCTAAACTAGTCATCAAATATCTACAAGATTCTATAATCTTTTCTTAGGAGTTGATTTTTTAGGAGTGCTTGCCCTCTCTATCCCTCCTGGAAGAGGGCAGGAGGGGTGATAACCCTGCACCCCCTCCAGGGTAGGCGCCGCTGGCAACGCCCCATAGCAGCTTTTTAATTCGATAAAATTTGATAACGGTAAACATGAACGATAAACAAAATACAGAGCATTGTTGAATGGTCTCCCAAGAATGCAGAATATTTATTGAATACAAAAAGAGATGGTAGTGTCGCAAAGTGTTTTCGATTTTCCTGCATATCAAACCTTGAAACTATACGAATTTCTATTTCAGTTCTGAGAGAATGACAGCCGGCAACACGTTGCAAACAGTAATGTTTCCGCTCTACGCTTCCTCGGGAAACAATTCAATGCATGCAATTTCGTTTATCTCCAAGTGAACTGCAAGCCACGCATAGCCGGCAAAAATGCTTTACATTCCAATCTAAGACTCAAGCCTAGTATGGCCAAAACGCAAACACGGTGCATTCATGAAAGGAATGATAACTGCCTCCTATGGATGGCAGGTGAAACAAAACAATAACATATCAAAGCATTTTCGTTGTTTGTGTGAGTGATAATGGATCTCTTTCAATACGTCGCATGGCCTTTTCATTGCAGACCGTTGTCGCTATGCATTATAAATGACGGGGGTATCGTTTGTGAGGTCACACGAAAAGACATAGAGGCGATATTGCAATAAAAGGGTATTTTACACTTTGCTTACGAGACGTTTAAAACAATAAAATGTTTTTAGAAACTTTGGGGGAATTTTTCTTGAAAAATGAGAAACGATATATCCCACGACAGCAATGTTTTTTATGAAACGAAACAACGTACTCAATTTCCAGAAAATCGTTTTGATCATTCAGAAGGAACGAAAATTATGCTAAAATTGTTAATTTAATATGGTGCAGGCTATGCATTCGGTCTTTTACGTCAAACTGAGTTTCTTTTAACTGTCTCGCCTTGAACCACTCACAAAGAAAGGGCTGTTAAAATTTAGTAACAATTTAATAAAGAATTTTGAGGTCTAGTTTGGGACATATCCCTCTTTTATAGGCAGACATGTTCTACCTCCACTTATGTCACTTTTTGCACGAAAAAAAGTTTATATGCAATGCAAATTTGATCTCGCAAAAGGCTTTTTCAGTTTACATTTCTGACTACCATTTTCATCTGACAGGAATTCGGGGCAGAAATTCTTCATTTCATCAAAAATTCGTGAAACTTGTTAAACTTTTCTCTCCATTAGTAAAATGTGAAATTTTAAAGAAAACCAAGATGGTACTTGCAGGGCTGAATCTTAATTTTTTCTTCAATTGTGTCCCTGTTTGGGAATTTGTACTTAACCTGCAAATAATGGCATGCCCTTGCAGGTCCACCCAGGCAATAAAAGAACAGGAACAACAGATCTCATTTCACAATGGAGAATTCTGTAGCAAATGTTGAAAATCCGGGGGTCTTTTGGGGGTTTCAAACTTTTTTTCAATTATAATAAATTCAAGCTTTTCATTACAGGCTACATGATTAAATATACTTATAACTGATAAAGCTTAGGGCAAATAAAAAGAACGCAGATGAGCTATCGAGTTATTTGCCCTATTATACTGCATGCATAAAATTACATTGAATTAGAAAAAAAACTTCAACATTAAGACAAAATTTTTTGGATAAAGGTTAAGGTTGACAAATACAAATTAATGAAGAGAAAACTCTTGTTACCCAAACAGTTTTGGGTCAATTTTGTTAAGTTTTCAACTCGTGGTAGGAAATACTTTTGCTGAAAATACCATGGCCTTTTGAAAAATGAAGAAAAAGAAACATAAACTCTATTGTCTAATTTTTATATTTCTATTTGATTTTCAATGCAATTTAGTCTGCGTTGATATATTTGACATGACATTGACTTGTTTACAAATTTTTGAAAACATAAAAAAATAACTCTGCCACAAGAAATGGGAATAGATTTATAAACTCCTGCTGGCCTCAAATTGATCAAAAAAAATCAACAGAGCTTAGAAATTTTCAGCAAAGAGGCTATTAGTTTATTTTAAAAAGCAAGTGTACGGATAGATTTAAATGAATTTTTACAATAACCTCGATGTCATAGTCCTATTTGTTCATTCACTACTGTAACTGCTTAACTACGCCAATTTTTTGATAAGTGGAACATGCTTTCCTTTCCCTCCTTAGGACATAAATGGTTACAGGGTTGCTAGATTGGATTTACAAAAAAGTCCAGACGGGTGAGCAACTTAGGCCAATTTGCACATAAAAATGCCAAATCAAAAAAAATTCTCAAAAATCATTGCAAAGGCGCTGTTCATTTTTCTACGCATGCACTTTTTAAATAATTTCTTTACTCAAACAATCTTACTTCTTCTTCAACAACTATTTGCTAATAGTTAGGTTAGATGATTATATTTGACACTTGGGTAAAACACTATAGTAAACTTCTAATTACTCCATTAATATAGTAATTTCTCTTTCAATTCAGAACTTCTGCTGAAAAAGGCCAAAAAAGGCTATATTTAAGTAGTAGGCCAAAAACAAAATTTCCAGGCAATTTAATTATGAAAAAGGCCAAAATTTGAAAATTTGGCCTGAAAAAGGCCAATCTGGACACCCTTAGTTAGGATAAACTGACGTTGACTGTACATTTTGACATCTCAAGCGCTACCCCCTGGAAAATTTTAATGGCAGTTTGTTCGAGCGTCTACTCTGAAGTGAAAACAAACACGAGACACCCCAGACAATAGATATGCACGTGACTTGTTGATGTCACTTCCGTAAGAACAGCCAATCAGACAGAAGCCATGAAATGCCATGACATTGACGGATTCCTGAGCAGTCGTGTGTGGATGTAGTGTTGTATAGAGAAAACTTTGATGCAGCGAGCTCGGTTCTTTCAAAAAGCAAGAAGACACATTTCGTTTGTAAAGTTTATTGTAATATTTGACGATCTCACGCAGTCATGGACTCAGAGAATGCGCTGAAAATGGACCACGTCTCTCAACGATTGGAGTCACCGCTCGATGTGCTGTCGAGGGCAGCCTCCATGATCCAAAAAGAATCAACCATGGTTAACGAAACAAATAAAGTTAAAGAAGGTAGGTAAAGGCATTTGAATAAGGGGTTTTAATGTTATTTTCAAGTGAAAGGTCGCTTTCAAGCTGAAACCTGTACAGGGGATCCCTTGCCGGTTGAACTGTGTACTTTTCTCGCATCTTTTCTCAAACTTCTAATTCGTTAAGTGCCTGTCGTGCCAAATAGACATCTTAAACCTCCAAAGAATTCAAGAAACTTTTATAACGTAAATAGCTTCATAAGCTCTCGTTGTGTATAGTTCAAAGCGAATCATGGTGATTGGATTGCTATCAATCGCATTCATCTGCTAGCCACCATGTGCTCGATTGAAGCAGGCATCTATAAACCAACATGTGGATGATTTTAAACTTGTTTCGGTAGTTCGACAGGTGTTGAGTACAAGACGCGGCTTGTACGTAAACAGAATTTATGTTCCTTAACAGCTTATTACAGAAAACGGCTGCTGATTTAATTGTATTCGTCGCCATCTTTGTCTTGTTGAACTATTCCACTTTATGTTCTCAGTTACAAAGCTGAGAACAGCCAAGAAGGGTCTCAAATTTCTTCATCCGTTACCAAAATTAGACACACAGTTAGGTTTCCCCATCTAAACATCCCTTACCGTTGTGCGTTTATATTGGTCAGCATGTTTTTATTTCTTTATATAAACGGTCGTGAGAAGAAATATATTTAACTGCGAAGTTTTTGCTTGTTATTGCAAAGACGCTAGAATCAATTCCCATGGTATAATTCGATGTTTATGAATAAACTCGCTGAAAAAAGATATGTTTACAAAATGTGGTTAGATAGTTATCAATGCTGGATAGTTTCACGAAGGAAAGGCATGTGTGGTTAAATGTTGTTGGGAAAATTTTCAAAAGTTAAGATTTCAGAACCGAATGAGTTCGTTTTTGAAGTAAAAGGCACAGTGGAACAAAATTGGCAATGTTCCAAGTAATCTTATACTTTTGAACTACGTACTGTTTGGTATATTTGAAAATGATACCAATAACACAAGATGTTCAATTAACATTCAAATTGCGTTTTCAAAGCAGTAACTATATAGAAAAACAAGATAAATTCATATGAAAACAATCTTGCTTCAATTTTGAAAGCTACGGCGCCCCACTGGTTTTGTTTTCCCAGTGATTAAATTAATTGATAAATTATTGTTCTGTGTGAATGCCTCTCTCCCATTGCCAAAAAGTATGACAAAATGCTGTATAGTAATAATAATATCAACGGTTCAATTGAATTTATTGTCACTGGTCAAATCGCTTTTGTTTCCTGTGTACCTGGAGCAAAAAACCGCAGTCAACAGAATCTAACATTTACTTTGCTTGAGAACATGCCCGCCAAAGTTTTGTACCTCTAAAAACACATTGTGAAGTACCTTCTTGTACATTAATATTATAGTTTTTTATGTTGTCTTTTAAATGGGCAGTTAAACATTGATAATGCAGTCATTTGTGCGACATTGCCTGGCATTTTGGTTACTTTAGCTCATAACGTATATCTAATAGGGCAAGTTTATAACTTAAAAACTGTATTTACCTAAATTAGCAGCATTATGAGAAATAAATGTGTGTTTCCGTGAAGACCCTAATAATTAGTTAATGTTTTAGTAGCGCTAGAATTGGGCCAGATGTTCCATGGACTTGCATTAGTTAATTTAGTACTGTTTATAATGTAAAATGTTATTTGTACTGTCGCAAAGAAAAGACCTGCCCCGTTGCCCTCTCTTGTGGATTAACGCTGACAAACACCTATTTAAACCCCGTGTTGATAACATTGTTCAAGAAAAGCCCGTTTCGAAGAAGTGGTTTTCCCATCACAATGCAACAGTTCTAAAGGGCTTTCAAGTGACTGAAAGCATTACTCACACTCCAGCCCTAATGTGTGCACCTTGTTTTGATCAGCCCATGATAGAACAATGGACTGTACGTCCGACAAAACAATCGACTGTATCGGTGTCAAGCTTCCGAGAAGACAACTGTTTATTGTTTTACAACAATAAGGTTTAATGAGTCATAGCCACAATTTGTCATGTTTTAACGTATCTGGATATGTTGTTTTGAAGTAAGTGTTAGGTTAAGTCTGTTACACAAGCTTTGTAAAGGAATCTCCACCTTCCTAGCTTTATCATTTCATTTTCAATTTGAAATGAGTGTGACTGGAAGCAAAACTGATTTCAGGGAAAGTCTCCAAGCAAATTAATACTTGCTAACATAAATTAACAAAAGCAAATTGTACACTGTAAAACATGTCAGGAATGTGGCTAGATTGTGGTATGTTAGAATTATGGTGTTTCAGAACTTTAATGGTGCTCAGAATTTATCAAAAAGTGAAATGATGGGAATGTGATGTTCTAAAAGTAAGGCTTTTGAACAATTATCATTCATAAAAATCTATTCATAAAAATTGATTGACTTTGTAACTATTTTTGCATTCATGCAGTTGGCAATCCAATTTTATGATTTCTTAATTGTTTTTTGTAGGTAAAGAACGAGAAAGCTGTTCAGACAGTGGATTTGAAGATGGGCCAAGCTCACCAACAAAAGTAAATCTTGACAAAGCAAGTCCACCAACTAAAATTACAGTTTCAAAAGAAAGAAGAGAAAGAAGAATGCAGGAAAGGAGAAACATAGGAGTGACATCAAAAAATGATTTAGCAGATCTAAGGCGAGAGCAAAGAGAAGGAGAAGATCTGTATAGGTATTACTGAAATTTACTGCAATTAAAGTTTCCAGTATTTCTCAGGCGGAAATAAACTTTATTTGAAAAAGATGTTACTGTACTCATTATATTACAGTTTTATGAGACAGAGAATAATTTAATTATGAAGTATAAATCTCTTTTTGTGTTAGGTTTAACAACAAGTAGTTAGGAGATTTTGGGTTCTGACTATTGTTTTAAAGCACACTTATTTCGCATGGCATTTTTGTCATGATTTCAGCTGTTATTTTTTTTATTTTTTACGAGCGTACTTACACTGATTTTTGTGACATTTGCAGGGCGCCAGAGACAAAGCCAGTTAAAAAGTGCGGCAAAGACTGCACAGAATGCAATGTGCAAGCATATGCAACATCTCCAAAGGGTTTGATTTATGAACAAGCATACATCCCTGTTTACCCTGAAATTGTAAAAAGAGAAAAATCTGATAAACAAGATGACACTCACTATAGAGCTGAGGATGAACGAGACCACAGAGGCCATAAATATTCAATAATTCCTCCACCACCACTGATGTCACTTCGACCAACTGCATTTACTTGGCTTCCTCCGCCTTTTCCTTCACCTTTGTCGCTGATAAGAAGACAATCGGTTATTACATCCGCCTGTTGTCCCCAGCAGTATGCTGGCACAGAAAACATTTCGATCTGTCCCTGTGCCAACCCAAAATGCAACATTCAGGCCATATCATTTGGAAGTCATGTTGGTGGACATTCAGCTGTCAAAAGGGAGGTATTCAGTACTGTGCCTCCTGGATTTGAACTGCCCACTGTTGAAGAGCACTTTCGTAAAAGTTTAGGAAGTGACTATGAAGAGGTGACACCAGGTGAACCTCTAAACAGTGTAGATGAACATTTTGCAAAAGCATTAGGAAATACTTGGTACAGCCTTAAGTATAAAAAAGCTATAGAGAGTCAGTTTAGGACCAGGGAAAGGGTTTTGACAAGTTGTAACTTATAGATGTGTTGATAAAAGTGTGGTAGTTTTGTAAAGCTGTAAATATTATGTAGTTTGACTATTTTACGTCCTTTAAAATGTTACAAGATGTGGCATTATCCATGTTAAAAGAGCTGATGTACTTTTCTTCCTAGATCAGATACACTTTCAAGAACTGAGCCATCCCTCCAGTTTTATGGAGTAGCATTTCAGGATAAATATTTTGGTTTTTGTGCTGGTTGCTTTTTTAGTTTGTCTTGAGGTTTTTGTTACCCATTGAAGTGGTCATTTCTCAATAATTGTGTACGTGCATGTCACAAAGCTAAATAGGAATGTCAAAAACAACTCCTTTGTTTGTGTTTTGATGTACCGAAAATTGTTAAACTTTTCAAGTTATTGTTAAAGAATGTCAAGTTTTGATGTTGATAGTGTATTTTGTTAGGCCAGCTACTGTCTGGTCTGGCAACGTATAATAACTTTGGTTCCTTTTGTCTTTTGTTGGGCAAGTTTTCTTCAAGTCCTTTTTCTAAATTCAACTTTGTTATCATGTTCAGCTTTTGTATGATGTAAAAGTGCAGATTTTGTTTAAATATTGTAAGTTTATATTTCCACATCAGAATAGTCTTAATATTGTTAGTTTTGTCGCATAAAAGTGATTAATTCATATTTCTATTTAATATAACTTTCGATTTTGCGATCGTTATTTAAATACTTTAGAGTGGGTTGTATAGAGATCTTAGATGGGAAATGACAGTTCTAATTTATGGAGAATTTGGTTTCTTTTGGAATTTCCTTCGCCTGCGATGACCGATGAAGTCGTAGGATGAAATTAAGACAAATCGAAAAACGCTACTTTCAAGTACTAGAATAGAGAGAGAGAATTGAAGCAAGTCCACCTTTCAAGTGGCGCGAAAGGGTTGCCACAAAGTTTTTATGTAAGCAAACACACAAAGCCGAGGTTTATTTCTAATTACAAATCTTTGTTCAATTAGCAGCCATGTCATAAGAAATTTCATTGACATATTAATACGAAATTAGGGGGAATTTTTTAAGAAAACCTTTGAGACATCAAGAGGTAAGTGGCTAAATTTAATTAGCAGTGCAATCATAAGCGAAAAGAAATCAAATTCTACATTTAGTGAAATTTTAAGAGATTTTTGGAGAAAGTGCGGTTAGGTTTCATTCGAAGCCAGATGTGTAGTAGCCCCTCCCCAAATTCGAATATTTCATAAAAAAGTCCTTAAATGTTGGCGGACTCATCAGATTCTATTGTCTTTATACTGGGCAAAAATTTTACGTAGCAAAACTTTCATCAACTTTAAATTATAAATTGAAATAAAATTATTAATTCTAACATTGAGTCATAAGTAGAGAGATTTAGGACATTAAATTTGGACATTATATGCAGGCAAAATCATTCCATACCCGTTGGTAAATTTTCTCAGGGACTGAAAAGAGAAAGAGTTAGGGCTTGAAATTTTTCAGATTGTCATAAAAAATCAACTTGATAGGTTTATTGTCAATTCATTCTGGAAATTTATCAGTTTCAGCCTTAGCATTATACTGAAATGTTCTTAATGTAAAGTTTTGTTTATAGAGCTAAATTGTTATGCAGGGGTATACATTAAAAATGAAAATTTGCCCTTGAAATGTTGCAAGAAACGTGCAATACACTGTTTTCTTTTCCCAAAATATTGTTTGTAAAAATATTCAGGCCCACAATCATCCAATTTTTACGATTTTCGTGAGAATGTTATCTTTAGGTAACTTTTTACCTTTATTAAGTTTAAAAACCATAATTAAAATAACACACACATGATCAAAATACATTGGCTAACAGTTGATATTTTAGAAATTGGCTAACTTTTGGCATAAGAAATTTCTTTACAAGTTTTGAAAAATGTCGTCATAAATAAGGCACTACAGTCAGGATTTCATATGAATTTCTTTCATTGCCTACAAAAGGCCAGCGTTAAGAGCACTTCTATGAAAAGGGCACTTTAGCCCCCCTTGCCCTCCTATAAAAAGGCAACAGGGGCGGTTGACCCCCCTCTCCGGCGTCCCTGTATGTTGATGAGTTCAGTGATCGAGAATCAGTAAACATCTGAAGACTGACGTCATAGATAGGCACATGTTTGCAAGGTCAAGCTATCAACGGTCTTATGGTTTAACAGTTGATTGCCAGGAAGATCTTCTAAAAGCCATAGGAAAGGAACTTGAAGAAATGGCCATAGAAAAATTTGGGAACGGGCTGTTGCCAAGCCAAGTCTGAGATACACTCTTTTGTTTCTTCAGCAGTTGCTTGTTTTGCAATGTTCATAACATAGATTCGCCATGACTCGAGAGCGGGCGATGTTTTCCAGAAACCATATCAGATTTGATAAAATAGGAATGCCTCAGAAGATTTCTAAAAAATATGGAGGCCGAAAAAATTTACAGTATTCCAATATAAAGATTAGTGTAGGTTGTTCATATAAGAGACCGGTAGTGAACTTTCAAAAGGAGTTGTCCAAGATTGTGGTTCTCGTTTTTTTAATCATATTATATTTCCAGCTCTACATATTATTATAAATCTGGATAATGCAAGCGATACAATGGGCGGCTTCCAAATATCGGGCTTCAAAAGACAATTTGAAACCCTTTGAAACGTGTGTCAACAGTGTATTGGTTTTACTGAAGGCAGCATTAGAGAAAATTGGAATGAAAAAGTAAGTTTTGTTGCATTCGGGTAGAAACGGTGTGAGATACAATTACTGTTAATTTGGTGAATAAACGAATTTCGTGCCGTTTTTTACGTATAAGTCAAGGTCCTTTATGATAGTTAGTCTTGTTATGAAAATTTTAATCCGAGTAAACGTAATTCAATAGAATGAAGTGAAAAGTTGGTTAGGGTGAGATACTTTTCTTGTTATTGATAGAATGTAATAATTCGTATCTTATATTCAAATTTATTTATACGTTACTTGCTTATAAGAAAGAAGTGGATGCGAGAAAAGCATACCATGCACTATTTATGGTAAAGTTAGAAGTGGTTTTTCCTATTTGGTTGTTCGCCAAATTTATTTGGAGGATGTTGTTAGAAATTTTGCTTATTTATGTTTCATTTTAATTAAAAAACTCATTTTGTCTCCTTCGAATCTGCAAGGTGTACGTAATATTTTTAAAAGGATACAAATCTCTAACAGTGGCGGATTTAAGGGGTGGGGGGGGCAACTAAGGGCATTTGCCCTTCCCTCATCAAGTTGAATCAGGTCTGGCACCCTATTTTGGATATGGTTTGGCACAATTATTATGAAAACTTGTTTAGAACGTGAATAGAGAGCCTTCTGTCAGTAGTTAGGGTCTGAAATTGTTGTATACAGCGTACTCTCGCCACCAATTTCTGAACATTTTTCAACGCTCCCACTACCAACTGCCCCTCCTTTCGATTTATGGTTCTATTGTGACACAAGTGTCGCCATCAGAGAAGAGGGCCCCAGAATGAAAAGGCCTTCACTCTCACTATAACAAGGTTTCATTTGCTTTGTCCTATTTCATGCCCAAGACTGACATACAGAGCTTTGCGGCTTTCGCCTATCCTAAACATTCAAGCATCGGTTTTGTAAAATGGCTTCTTACTTTTGAAATTAAACGGGCTTCAAATTGAACGGGCGTCCAGTTCTTTTTATAGATCAATGGTATAAGACCTAACATTCAACATTGAAAGAATAAACAAGACAGCAGATACTCTAACACGTTTGATATTTATTGTCTTCTTTCAAAACACACATCGTAAAAACCAATTATAACGTGATTTTCCCAAATATTTAATTGATTTAGCAGAGAAGGATAGGGGGTGTTACAATCCTTCTTCTCTCACACCCTTCCATTCCACGTGTAAAACCTGAACGAGGTAATTAATACAGACGCATAAATTAATTGAATTCAACCCGCAGAGAACTCTTCGGTCCTTTGTGAAAGAAGATACTTTAATTGTGTGGTTTAACTATTTGCTAAAAGTCATCATTTTTTGGCAGACTTGTATTGTAACTAATCGTCTGATAAACAAAGAGGGAAGCGATGTACGAATAGAATAAAAGATCAAGAAGGCTGAACTATCACGAATATGGAGATCGGATCTGAAAAAAACTTAAAAAAACGTAGCTCCACCCCTGAAATTTCGTTATCTTTCTTATTTGATCCATTCAAAAAGGTCTCGATTTAAAAAATTGCCACGTTTTACCAATTTTATCTTGGTAGTAGCCATACATTACTGATCCATAGCAGATACAAAACTTAAGCCACAGAAAACTAATGTAAGAGGGTCGTACAAACCTAGTTCATCCCACATTTGCCTCAGCTCAGGGCTTGATCTAAAATATGGAGTAAATAGTAGAGATTCTAAAACAAAGTGACAAAGTTGGCTCTTTCTGGCAGTTACTGATGATGCCTAAGACTTCGTAAACCGTCTAGATATCAACACGCGCAGCAAAAAAATCAGAACCACACTCGGTTGAGTCCCCCCCCCCCCCCCCGCCATCTTGGTCCTCTTAAGGCATGTAACTCGACAGGGTTTCGGTCATTACCGCTCCCCCCCCCGCCATTTTAAGGTGTCCTCAAACTTGGCCTCTTAAGGCATGTAACTCGACAGGGTTTCGGTCATTACCGCTCCCCCCCGCCATTTTTAGGTGTCCTCAAACTTGGCCTTTTAAGGCATGTAACTCGACAGGGTTTCGGTCATTAATGCTCAGCTACAGGTCTGAAACAAGAAGTTCATATGTAGTTTAAAGACTTACCAGGGTGGAAGCACCAGCTACATACTATTCTATTGGAATCCTCGCAAAGTATCTGTCCCCTGACTGCATACGACTGCAACCGCACGGCCTAGGTGAAAGATGAATTCCTGGAGATGAATCTCCAAGAAACAGTCTCGAGATGCTCCTCATTAGCCACGAGGAGAGAATTTCTGGCATTCCTTTCGCATTTACAAAATTATCCAGGAAAGGACATCCAACACTTGTTACAGCCACTAGAGGCCGAGATCATTTCACGAATTGTCATCACAAAGAGCTGGGAGTAAATGGTGTCGAAAACAGAAAAAACCACTCCACTTCTGGAGACCCTCTTGGGATATAAGGGTAATGACCCCGGGAAAATGCAGAACCCCTGAAAATCAATGCAGCCAGTGCGCTGACTCTAATCTATCCAACGTGAACGCACGGAGACTAATTCGATGTGGTTCGGATAAGGCCTCGTTTACACGAGCCCGAGTTTGCTACTACCCGCCTTTGAGGGTCAACCTGTCACGGTCAGGTCTCTTCAACCGTTTACATGAAAACAGCGGCCAACTCGGGTCTACCGAGAGATGCCGGGTAAACCTTCTCAACGGTAGGGTAGACAAAGTTTTATCATGTGACAACGGGTCAGCTAAACCATGGGTCCCGCAAACACATATGGGGTCATTTTTACACTTGAGCTAACAAGTTAAGCTGACCCAGGTGTGGTCAACCCTCTAAACGAACCAGCTGATCCGGGCTTGCATAAACGTAAACTGCAGCGTGTTGACCCGACCCGATGCGGGATCTAGCCCGGGCTCGTGTAAGCGAGGCCTAAGTAAGGGTACTCAAAATAAATAAGGGTATTATTTACTCTCAAAAATGTAGTTCGAAACTATTTTTTTACCACCGCAGCCGTCTACCATACTTTTTATCCGGATTCACGAGTCTCTGGTGTACAGGTTGAAGTAAGGGCCTCTTTCAGAAGATACTTTTAAACAAAATGCCCATAGTAAAGGAGCTTTTTCCATTGGCAGTTACGCATACAACAAAATCACAGCTATGCTTTATTATAATGCGGCGCCCTGACTAGTATACGCTGATTTAGTGCTCAATTCTGGCTGATTTAAAGGGACGACACTCTTGGACCGCATAAAGCGGTGGACTGAGTACATTGACCCGTACCGTATCGGTTCGACAACAGCACGACGTATAAAACGGCACTAAGCTACGCTGAGGTTAAAAAATGACTCTGTACTACAATATGAATAAAACATAAGAGGGTAATATACCTGGTCACTTAACGAGGCTAAAATCCATCTCTAATTTTCCAAAACGTATAGGGCATGATTGCGTCATAACCTCCCACTTGCAGCCCGCTTAAATTATGAAACTGAGAAAGTATGTCCCCTAACGCCGTATTCCTTTTTGGTTTTAAAGTTGAAATCTGGCGTTGTTTCCTTAGATGTTGGACTTCAAGAGCTACTGGAAACGCTACTTTCGACAGGGAAATGACTTCTAAGAAATGGATCCTGTTAAAATTATATCCAGATCCGCATCGTTTGCTTTGTTCTATTGGATAGATAACGGCGAAAGTTGATGGAAAAGATGATGCACCCACGTAAGTTCATGATTAAAAAATAATCAAAAATAACGCTAGTTTCATGAAAGACTGTCATAACAAGACAAGCTTCCGAGCGTTTATACGAATCAGTTAATCGCTATGGAGAGCTGTTGAGGATTGTAACGGAATCCTTGTATATAAGCCAGTTATTAAAACGCGATTGAAGTTATGGCGCGATGATAACGTACACAAGGGCCACAAGGGATAAACATCACAAGGCAATGCCTCTTAGTTCGAATAAGCACATGCTCATCTCCGTCTAACGCCGCGGACACGATAGGTAAAGTAAATCTGAGATTAACAGAACAAAAGCTAACTGTGTTGATCGCAATGTGCAACGTTGAAAAGGCGTAAAACCCGCAAAAGAATATGGATTTGGTGAAGTTGATCTAAGGATTCAACTTGTTATTGTTGGATGCAGATGCGAAGAGAAAATGGTCTATTCAATATCACTAATCCAAACCCATAGAAAGTAGGTTTTATCCGGGTAGGATAATTTGTAAATTGTCGTGAGATACGACAAATAAGAGGGCCTAGTCAGTGAACTAATAGCGGCGAGGCATTCATGAAGAGAACCATTAGCCTGCGTCAGTGGCGTATGTAAGGGGGTGTCGGAACCCCCATTTTTTAATAGCATGTCCCTTGAGATTAACTCGAAAATGCAAAGAGATAAGTAGTGGTTGGGATGGAAAGATCCATTTCATTTTGACGTCATTGAACGGTGTCTTATCGCAATTCAAGCAAAAAGATGCTTCATTTCAGCACAATTAGATATTCGACTGTCACACAGGCTTTAGAACCTTATAAAATGACGTCAGTCATTTACTACTTTGCCAGCTCCTTATGGCTCTAGAGAATATCCCACATGCAGAAAATCAACAAGAAGTGCACTGTGTCGGTAGAAAGCACCGACTAGACAGGTGCCTAGATAATTCCATGACCACGAGGAAGACAGCAACAAGGTAAGTGTTAGAAGGTGACAGAAACTCGAAAATCCTTTAATGATATGCTTTCAAAAGATAGCTAATACCATTTCACTATCAAAAAGTACGCAAACCAGGAAGAGTAGAAAGAAATCTATAGGGAGTAAATCAACCTCAAGAGGCAACGCTGCCCACGTTGGCTAATGAATTTAATGCATCATGACGTCACAATGGGAAGAGCACAAGGCCCAGTGGCTTCTGATCTTATTTGCCTTATTTGGTAAAAGACAGTTGGGCGAAAAGTAGACATTTACGATAATTTCATTTAACGTTGGGCCTTTAAATAAAAAAGGGATTTATTTTATGATCATTTTTCAGTTCGGTATCGAAGTTGCCTCTGTACAAGGACCCATTTCACTTCAAGGGTAAATTGCAAGTAGCAAGGGGGTAGTTTCTTGAAAGTTCAGTGACGCTCTTTGAAGGTATCCTTGGTTAAAAGTCGAGAAGCTTTGTGCTTTTTGTAATGTTACCTTTACTAGTGACTGTCGATTACAGAAAATCAAAGTTCTTATTGTCCAAAGGGTTTCATTCAAAACATCATATTGGCAATTTACTGCAATTCAATAATAATTTGCACCTAAAATGATTATTCAGCTATGAATTTGATTGTCCAACAAACAGTGTCTTGCCACTGTATTGCCTCAGATCTTCGTCTCTTTTTAACTCTGCAAACAAAACAGGAAATTATGCGCAATGACGCTTATGGCCTAACTGGCCTAGAATCAAAGCAACAGATCTACTTTGGGAAGGGGAAGGACTTCAGACGTTTTCTAAATTATAAACATTGATATTTCTTTGAATAAATGCTGGAGCTCTTTTTTCTAACAACAGTTTATAGAGAATAATCAACTGACGATCAATATGTTAAGTCAAAAGCTGTTATGACCCAGTGTTCAAAGTAAGCTCTGTACTATGGTTAACCTTGAAGGATTAGATGATCTGTTAAATCAGCCATGGATGTTTTACAATTGACCAATCAAAATGACGAATGGCATTTCTAAGCTGGTTCCTTCTAAAAAATTTAACTAGCCTTGCCTCCATACAAGACCGATTGCCTTATCATTGAGTACATTATAATAATTGATGTTGAGAGCAACAAGATGGGATCAAATGTAAAAGGGAGATCTTCAGGCTCAAATGAAACTAAGGGCCTTCAACAGCCTGCTGAGATTTTGGGGAAAAGTTTTAACTGACAGGAAATTAAAAAGAAATATAGAGGAATATATGGTCGTATCAAACATACCTGGACTAAGAGAGGGGCTGGTAGATACCGCTAAGCACACGCCTTGTAGACCATAAATAACTGCAGCCTGAATCAAAGCCGAAATGACATTTACAAAAATGTTAGGCATCCAACATAAAATATCTTCATTGCATTGTGAGAGGCAATCTAGCATTCAAGCATTGAATATATGAGCGATATCAACCTTATACATTAGCTATTTGAATGTAGAGAAAAGGGGATATTAAGATGGAAATGCAAAGTTTTCCTCTTTGTTTGCCTTGCAATCTAATTATCACAAACTGGGGAGAGATTTTGCAAGTGTAGAACATGGTCGATCAGTGTGTGTTAGAGTGGCCAAATTCGCAAGAATATCCCTGATGCAAAACGCCATCATCTAATTAACAGACACATCTTGCAGGGTATCAGAACTTACAGACATTGTCACCAAACCATGAGAAATGTTTACCTTAAAGCTAAAAAGCATGCCTGCTCCAATGAAAACAAACTCAAAAAGATGATGGTTATATCCTAAAAAAACAGAGCCAGATCTTGATCCTATAAAAAGTATCTTACTCAGCCCGTGCCATGCCCGCTGCCCCCTCCTTTGGCCTGGCCCCGCTTAAATGGTCATTCCCTATCGAAATACAAGATGACGCTCAATAGACAGTTTACGAGTCTTCCAAACCCCTGCATACCTGCTGTTTCAGCCCTTCTACTGTAAGGGGGAAATCACCACGTGGATTCTCCAACAAAACCGTTGCCCTGGTTCCCGCTGCACCCATACGAGGCAACATCTTCTCCAGTTCTAAATTCACAAAACTGCAAAATGGTGTACTACTGTTAGCCCTTGTTCCAGTTTCCTGATAAATACCGCGATATATCCAAAGCCTTAATTGTGCACCTTTGACCTGCAGAAGAACAAATATAGAAGCTTTGAAAATAATTGTACCCATAAGTACTGATAAAATCAGCTCAGCTACCTTCGCAATACCAGCAAAATAATCAACAAAACCAAAACAGCAGTCATTACGCAAATCATCATCAGCATTTCGCATGCTAATGGGCCGCTTTGCTCCCGATATAACTGGTAAAAACCCACAATACAGTATTACGGAGGCATGTGATACTAAAGATAATAGTCATCATCACAATCATAACCGTCATCCTTGACATCATTACTGAAAACATCATTGTGGATATGCTTTGGTTCATAGACTAGGACGGTTCTAAGCTGCAACTGTCCAAAATGAATCAATCAGGAACAGTTGCCTGACGATCGCATTAAACTTGAAACACGGAGCTGCAAATTTCCAGTTTAAACACTAAATAGAGGGAGTGTCTATTAAGTCCAAGAAATCTTGCTGCCTTTAAGTGCTTATAAAATAATCATTTCTTTCTCTCGCTTTGTTTGTTCAAACGAAAGGACGGCTTTTCTTTTTTAATAATCATAATCTTGGCACTTCCCTTCCCAGATGTTGGTGTTCACAGCCCTTACAACTTGACGTCATCCTTTAGGAACGACCATTACTCAATCGAGCTGACTTACGCCTCTGTCTAGGCAGGATTTTGAAAAATAAGCACGGTTACACAGCAAAGTGATCAGTGGAAAGCCATACCAAACAGGATTCGCGAGATGATTGGTTGGAATCCTGACAATCAGTGGCGAATCTTTTTGAGCCTAATAAACCGAGTATACAGGATTCGTATATCACGTTGTCTTATGAGCCAAAACCAGACCAATTGTGACGTCAGTCAAGGTTTATGCAGATGAGATAAGTTAGGATATTCTTTATAAATATGCTGTGTTACGATAAGAGCCGCAAAACCATCAAAATCAGTATGATCAAGGGCAACGTGACCCAGAGTTCAAGCCATGAATAACTGAATAGGCTTATAACAAGGTGAATAGGCCGAGGGGTTGTGCCTTGCAAATGGAACCGAACGATTAAAATGGGGATATATAAATGTAATAATAATAATCTTACCCCAGTGTCTTCGTGAATGACTTCTGGCAGTCCATTCGGGTCAAGGTTATTGTAAAACTTTTGCTTGATGCTATCATAAATGTAACTTGAATGCGATTCGATGATAGAAGAGAGCAAACTGCTGGCTTCTTGCTCTGGTTTGGAAGAGCCAAGTTGACAAACCTCATAACTAATTGTGATGTCATCAGTGGGTGAAAGTTTAGCCTAAGATGTGAATGGATTACTTTCGTTGTTGAAACAACATTTCAAGGAATCATAGGGTTCAGTGATTCAAATTTTTATGTCAAAAACCCACTAATCTTTCACATGATAGAAACAAATTATTGAAAACCCAAAAAGCTGGGGTGTTATTCTATACCGGTTGTAACGGGATTCTATTTTACGACATAAAACGCTATAAAAATATATTCACAAATCGTGCAGGGAGTCAGGAAGCAAATTTTCGGACGGAATACTGTTACAGGGCAGGTTACAGGCTTACTTATATCATATATAAGATCACAGTCAGGTGATTCATCATTCGTCATATTCCAGATTATACTTCAGCCTGCAACCTGCTACCATTCAACCCTATTGGCTGTATGTTTGGAACCTTGAATCATTTTTACTCTTGATATGGTCAAGGTTTCTTTGCCTTTGCCTGGAAAAACAGTGACTTTCAAAACTGGTGCCTTATCGACTTAATTAGCCCAGCATTGTTTCCTTTAAATTTCGCATAAAAGACCAAATAAACAACATCTTTACCTTTTTACGAAGCCTTTGAATTCTGTTGACAACCTCTCTGGCAATCCCTTCATTGACCATAGTCTGGTCAGGTGTTATGTCTAGCAGGATAAGCACCTTTGGAACAAGTAAAAATGAAATAACAACAACTTCCCATCAATTTACGTCAGGTTACAAGTTTTTCAACTAGTATTTGTGGATAATTTTTTTTGGACATATGAAAGACTGTACCAAGAACGAAGAATATTGAATCGTGGAATTTGACAAAAACGTGAAAGTCCTAATGACCAAATACTGATTTTCCTTCAAAGCAACCCTTGCTATGCTCACTCGAATTGATCATACAATTTCTCCAAACCACTATGGCTTGTACAAAACACCTCCTACTTTCCCGTATTTAAACCCAAAACGTGGCGTATGCGCCTAGCGGTATTCAAGAGGGTCAAATGCTCTAGTGAGTGAAAAAAAATTCAACAAGCGCAAACATACCTCGCCATCAGAATGAGGCTCATACTTTTGTGACAACTCGGTATGATCTCCAAATGTGTAGTTGAGCTAGGGTATAAGCAAAGTGAAAAGCTCGGCTACTTTTACGATATAGTTAGAAAGTAAATGGACGGGAAGGGGGGTTTTAGAAAATCTGTTGCAAAGAAACACTGACAACAAAAATTGGTATATCGGACGAATATTTCGTTACAGTTTCTTTGGAAGGTCCGATTTCAGATGCCATTAACAATGCATCTAGCCTTTTAGCATCACCCGTTGACGCTACAAGAAACAGTTCTTGAAATTTTAAGGCTTTTGCATACAATTTAATTTTGAATATTCATTAAAGCAGCAACAATAAAATTTCATCACCGTAGCTAATTATTACTACTTGTATAATGCAATTCAAATATTATAATAGCGCAACAATATGCAGGCCGTATGGGTCAGATTACAAATACTTAAATAGATTCCCTTTAGTGCATTCTTGCTTAAGCCCAATCATGGAGGAAACTAGATGACACGCCCGTCCCATGTCAGAATTTTAACAAGAGCCAATACGCTTCAGTACAGTTGTATGGATATGACCGCAGCATGTACCTTGAGGTCTTCACCAGACAGCTCCTGACCAGCTACAACTATCTTTCCATCTTTCTGATATTTTTGTAGTTCATCTTGGTTTATGTCTGCAATGGAAAAGGAAACGACGATAGAATTACTTCAGCATTAACAGACACAATGACAGGATTTAGCATTGATCCCATTCTTTTTTATGCAGTGCTTGAGTGCCCGGACAACGCATGGTGGTGAATTTTATCTGAGCATCTTTGCATAAGGACTGTAGCTTTTGTGCCTGAAAATACATCTAAGTAAATGAAAAATACCCGTTTAAAAGTTAGCAGCAACAATAAATTTATGGAATTATACCAGTTTAAGGAAATTCTGAAATGATTTCGGGAGTCGGACGTGACATGGCAGCATGATCCCTGCCAATATCCCCCAAATTTCCTTTAAAATCCGCAGTGCTGCAGTTATTGAAGGGATGGGTGCACTTAATAGTGCTGGGCCTTTCTACGTTCGAGCTTAGCAAGAAAGAAAACAAACCTTTTTTTACATAAATTTTAGGTTTAAAGCTTTTACAGACATGTTAGATTTTGTAGATCTAAACAATGCAAGTGACACCTATCTTTAAGAACTCTACTTGGATGAAAAACAAAAAGAAACATGCCGTCATTTTGCATCGCACCAAAACAACCGGGTCACTGCTGGTTATTAAAGACAAACCTTTCAAGGCTTCGAGAACTTTTTTGAAATCTCCTTTGAGTCTCTTCCCGAGAATTTGGAAATCCGCCGAAGCTTTTAGCTTCAAACCGTACTTGTCTTTGTCCGATGACGTTGTCACTTTCCGCAGATTAAGCTCCTGGTTTAGTGAAGCAACAAGGCATGAATTATCAATTCATAAATCAACGAAGTAAGATTGATTAGGTTTTCTGATTAAAATTATCCATAATAGAAAGCGTGATAGGAAAGTATCGACATGAAGGTAATCTAATTCATAAGGTGATCTATCAAGACAAGATTATAGAGTTGTTTCAAATGCCAAGGTTACAAAATAGATCTGTATTATGCTTTTCACCTCTCAGTTAGCGAAAAATTACATTAGCGTTATGGGATAAACATGTAAGAAATAGAATATGTCTGGCAGAAAGCTAACGAAATACTCTTTTGGGTGGCGCTTTAAGTTAACCACTTAGTTTAACAAGGTACAAGAGACCGCATATGTTCTTGTTTAGAATAGGAACAATTTCAAAGGCATAAAATACTGCCCAAACCCCCGTCTATTCACACAAATAGCAAAGGACATAAGACACTTTAAGTTATCTCACATACTTTTTGGCGATAAAGACGGGGGATGGCGCAAGTTGAAACAAATGAGTTCCAGCGGCTGAGACAATTTGTGCAACATAGCTGTGTGTTTACTTTGTGATGCTTTTAGGGTATGATTTAAAATCCTGCATTTTTAGCGAATATACATATAATATCCTTGGAAAAAGATTTTTCTGTCTTGGCAGAATATCTCTAATCTACCTTACTGAAAGGATTACAATTTGAGACAGCAAACTCCAACCTACAGTGAAATATTCTGTCATTGAAATTCTCTAAATGCCTACTTATAATTTATAATGACATTGAAATAGATGTGTTGAGTCACCAGTCAAAAGTGATTTAGAAGCAGACATTGAATTTGAATTACCTCAGATACGTAACTCGATAGGGAGGAGACGTCTGCTAAATATGTTGGGTCTTTGTGAATTACAATCACTTCTGGTAATGGGTACTATGATGAAGTAGAAAAAATAAAATATGACACCTTTAAAAAGTTCAATTTCAATAAAATGCTGCGTAAAAAGTCAGGGTAAGAAAATTGCGGACGGAAATAAGAAAGAAAATTGCAAAACAAGTTTTGTGATAGAAGGCAGTTTAACTTGACTCTTGGAATGTTAAACGGGCATGCATTTACCATCACTTATAATGTTTTAGACACTTTGAAGAAGCTAGAAACAAGAAAACGTCCACAAAGTCCCTCACCTACTTGCCCTTGGTCGCACTTTTTCAATTTTAATGACAGTTTGGTAAGGATATGCAGAACGTGGCAAAAATGTTTGACAAAAAACAAAAATGATGAAGATGCAGATGATGGCTTGATTGCAATGATTGATTGTAATGTTTGATTGATTGTGATGAAGTGAAATGACTGACTGATTGTAGTGATTGACTGATTGATTGGAGTGATTGACTGATTGATTGGAGTGATTGACTGATTGATTGGAGCGATGATTGACTAATGATGATTATGAACATGATGAGGTCGATGATGGTGTAAAAGCATATATATATATGTATGTATATAACTGAAACAGATAGCGCAAACTGGTGCCAGGTGAGGTTATATACCTTTAATGGCAATGTTTTTCTGTCTCTAGCAACTCGACCGAGTTCTATAACAGTTTGCATCCGGGAAACAGATCGTTCGACTTCTTCGTGGATAAATTCCATTCTGTCAACAAAGAAAAATAGTTGGAAAAAGTAGAAAATTAAAAATATTATGATTCAGAGTTTCTTCCATGATTTCAGGCAAGTGTTGAAACTCCCAGTTGAAATTTTGAGCCATCATTTTCTATACACCAGGGCATATTTATATGAATCGATCTGCAGTTTTTAGAACCTCAGAGCTTCAAGGCACTAAACAGATTTCTTGAAAAAACATGTTACGGAGCATTGGCAGCTCAATGGCAAGATATGATCAAACGGCTGTAAGAGAAAATAATTTCCATGGATAGCTTCAAGTGCGGCGGAAACCAATGCAATGCGGCGGAAACCAATGCAATGCAGCAATCTCAAGGAGAAGCAGTTAAACAGACTAGAATAAGAAGTTTGGAGTCATGTAGAAGGTGAGAAAGTCTTGACTTAGAAATACCTTGGTGCAGGAAGCATGAGGTAGTGGACGCTAGCTGTTTCTTCAACTGGCACACCATCGTCAACTATGAAGTGCTTCAGATTCTGATAGATGTGCTCCGTTAAAAATGGAGTAAATGGAGCCATCACTTTCACCAAAGTTAACACAACTGCAAACAGAGTGTGCAATGCAATGTCGCAATCCTCTGGACCTGACTCGCCCTGGTGATAAAAGGAGAAGTTAGAGAAACCTGCTACCTACCAAAAACGGACACTATCCAATTAAAGATCTTTTCATGATACAATGTTACTTAAAAAGTATCAAACTTATCGGTAACTACCAATGAAAGCAACCCCTATTAAGCTTCTGGGCATTCGATTTATTATTGTCAATGCTGTTCTATTCTTTGAATACGTTGATCCGACCTGAAGAGCTGATGGGAAGGTTTAACATTACCACCATCTTAGAGTTAGGACATTTAGTATTGATAAATAGTTCACCGTTAATAAAATTTCAGCATATTCTCCAAACGATTAAAGAAAATGACGGCAAAATTGAAATTGTCACGGTTCAATAACTATGATAGCTTCAAAAATAAAGGAATCTTTCCTGATCTCAAAACAGAAATCATAAGGTGTCATAACCCTGTAAATTAATTCGAAAGGACCCCTATCTCAGAACTGAACATTCTGAAGGTTTCGTTGAGAAAAGGTTCCAGATATAACAGAAGAAGACTATGCTCTCTTAAAATGCACCAGCAAATACAATTTGGAAAACTCAAGAAAAAAGCCCAAACGATATTCACCAACATCGACGACAAAGCAAGCATTAATTGGAAAAAAGGATGAAAAAAAGGATGAAAAAGGGCTTTTTTCCGCCTCTTCCAGTTCCGCTATTTTACTCTTTCTACCGTTCCATGCCATTATTGTTGCGGCCCTTGTATTGTACCAAGAGTAACATATCGGTTAGGGAGGTAATCCCGAAGCACCGAGAATACAAAGGAGCAAGACTTGGAAAATGTTTTGGAAGAAGCCCCAGGGAAAGCTTTCACACGAAGACAAAGAACTATATTTTCCATATATCCTTGACAGCATCAAACTATACTATACTTAGCAAAATCTAGCCTGTACTGAGTTATATTACATGGTATTAACGTGTTCACACCTTCAGTCTTTTCCTGTTCGACCTGACATACCAGTTTGTCAGGTTATCAATGAACTTCACCAATCGAGGCACAACGGTATAAAGTCGGTAAGCTGTGAAAAAACTTATTAACGTTATTAACTTCTCGAGCCTTGAAAATCCGTTGTTATGGTAATCTAAAAGATCGGTTAAGCGTGATTTACATTTGGGCTGGGACACTTTTTTACGCATGTTAGGATATTAGAGAGATTAATATCTGACTGAAATATTTCATCCTGGAGCTAGAAGCAATCTCTAACGGAAAACACTCGCATTGTAAAAAGCTCTCACGTATTTGGATGGGCAAGTGAATGCAAGAATTTCTAAAACATGCTACTGCGTCTTGACTTTCAAGAAATTAAGTACCAATATGGGCATATTCTCGGAAACAGTAAATAGTTAATAGGAAAGGGAGAGATTAGCGCCCGTAAAGAACCCTTGGAGAGAAATCAAAAGGATGATTCATAAATACATACCATTCATTTCTTCCTTGACAAACAGTAGTAAACTCTGTGTGAATGACAGTATCCATCTATCCATGTAATTGTTTGACTCATGAAGCTTTGTTTCATCGTACGAAAATTCTAACTTGTGGTCCTGTAAAAAAGGATAAAATACTATAAGATAAGAAAATTAAGTTGTATGGAACAGTGTAAAACAGCTCATGTCTGTGACCTTAAAGAAATTCTTCTGAAGTTCATTACTTTTATATAAAACTAGCAATATTGTACCATAAAATATTAATATGTCGTTTAAAAATGACCCTCAAATGTATGGAACATCAATGGAATATGGAATATCAAATGGAAAGATAGAATGGAAATAAATCATTTTTTATTGTTATTTGATAAGCTGATGCTTTATGCTCTAGAACCTGCTGGGTCGGATGCGGCTGTTAAGTCTTAACGATTAACTCAGGCCAGCTTTTTATACCTTGCTATAAGGGCTCTGCACCGTTTTCTAAAGCATTGGGAGCTTTTAATTGTTTCTGCAGTAGCAAACCTTTTACAGAAACAATAAAAACACATACGAATAGACCCTACAAGTTAAGTTATATAGACTTAACGGGAAATCAAGATATTCAACGGTTGCCATATGTCCTTCTACAGGCTCGCAGTAGCCTAAAATATGACTCTCGAGGGGAGGTGGAATGACAATTATTGTTTCGTTCTGTCACAAAGTTCTCGATGCTGTATAGGCAGAGCTATACACGCTATTTGGTGTATAGAACAGGACGGTGCTTGGATGAATGCTGATCGCATTACGCGTGTGAAACTCGGAGTAGCAAGTTAGAACCGTCCTGTTCTATACACCAAATAGTTGTGTATCTGCTGTGGTGGCTTGTCGAAAAAAAAACACTGGTCAAAGAAAACTTAAAAGGTTAGGTTAAAATTTTTTCTGTGATTTAATGTGGCTAAAGTGGAATAACATAAGATACCTTTTTGTAAAGTTCGATGCACTGAACCAGAAACCTGTAAGCATTGTACCATGGCAGGAACACGTCCTTGATGACATCTTTCACGCCACTTTCTTGAAAACGAAGTGAATCAGCCCTCACGACTGGGGAGTTTATCAAATACAATCTGAAAAAGAAACACGAGGGAAACGTAAAAACATAACCAGAGCTTTTATACCATGGTTTTACCCCTCTTTTTTATTTTCTTCTGCCTTGAAAAGCTAAAGAACAATAAACGTAACATGACCGTAAAAAGTAGGCCTAAAGTGGTAAATGAGAGCTCTTTTATTGCTAACCCCCAAAGCTACTTCTCACAATCGTCCTTTAATTGGACCTGATTCTTCAAACACAACTCATTAGGATAAATACATAAAAATCCGACAAGAGTTGAAGGAATATTGTTAAGCAAGGCAAAGTGATTGTCCAAGCCTGGCAAAGAACGAATTTTGTCCCTAACATTAATGTTAATGTGTCTATGTCCTGAAACACAACACAAAATGCATCCAAGTCATTTTTAGTTATGTTTTTTTCCAGCAGGGTGTAAACAAAGAACAAAATGTATTGGAACTAGCCTATTTCCTATTAACAGTCCCAATTAAAAACAAATTGGCCTAAGAAAACGATAAATTATTTTAAACGAGTAATAGCTCAGAAGCGAACAAACGAACAAATATGTAGGATGCAATCGCAAAAAATCTACAGCATTTAATGATTATAACTGATGGAAAAAACATAATTTTCCCTATTCTAACAATAGCAATTTATTCCATTTTCCGAACATATTTATTTCCCCCCATTTCACATGTTACTTTTCCTGGGCAGTGTCATACAAAATGCTCCAATGATATAATGGATTACGGCTATTCACTTAATTCACTAGCAAACGCTTTTGACATTTGCTTGATTTTTTCAATTTATCAAGTAGTTTATAGCTTGACTGACTAATTTTTAGCTGTAAGGGGCTGGCACCAATGACCAACGAACCAGCCTCAATGACAAGCTCACTCCAAAACAGTCCACTTTATCGCAAGAGGCGTGATATACTTCTGGCTAAGATTCATCTGAAGATTGATGAACCCCCAAGTTAAGTTATTTCGGATGACTGACCATAGGCGGTACTTCTTACCAAAGTTTAATAGCATTATCAGTTGCCCCGCCATTTATTACGCGTTTTCAAATGAAAACCACAATGTGATTAAGCGCAGTACTTTAAATCCTGTTTATTAATTCATTAAACACCCGTGATGTTAAACATTTTGTGGCTGTTGTTCTTGTGATCAAAGTTTTGTAGTTTTTATAAACCAAAATCACACAGATATTACTGGAAAATACTTAACTTGCTAGGTTACAAGAGCTTATAGAAAATTACTTTGCTCAAGGAAAAACACGTATTAACAAAAAAGATGAAACGAGGGTTTTTCCAGGGAACCCACCTTAGCGCATCTGAGCCGTACTTGTTTACGACTGAAAGCGGATCTGGATAGTTTTTCTTCCTCTTGCTCATTTTGGTGCCATCACTGAAAGTGTAAGAAGATTTTAGAGTGCACTTAAAATACACGATGTTTCAAGTCGTTTAATCTTAATGATCAATAAACAATAAAGAAACAATTGTGAAACAATTCTTAAATTTAAATGCTGAGAACGGCATTCTTCTATCATCCTTGCTCTTCACACCCTAAATTGGTTTACAATTACATTATTGCTTGATGATAAATAATAGAGGCCACATTACTGTTGCATAACAGTACGATCTATATTACTTTCTTAAAATCCTTTGGCCTAAACTTGTGGTTGCTGCTTTTTAAAATACTTGTTTGTGCTAATCGACGTAGCCATAGACAACTCAGGGGGTAACGCTGGATGCATTTGCGATCTCCACTAAGGTCAACTTGAGAGAAAAAGTTTGTGAAAGGGAAACAATAGAGAAAAAAACTCGAGATCCTTTACACTGGTCCCGTATCTTAGCAACAACTCGTCGTTGTACAAAAAAGGAGAGTCATCTAGTTTCAACTGTAAGTCAATTCATTATTGCATGATAACCGTTTTGCAATTTGATTAAAACAAAAAGGACGAGTGGTTTAATCAACACCTGAAAAACATGAAATCCGCCCATGTAACACATCTGAAGAGAGAGGGAGAGAGGAAAGGAAGGAAAAGAGGGAGAAAACAGTCGGGAGGACAATCGTAAAACACTTCCATGAATGAGGATAAAAAGCTTTGGCGATAATAAGTGGATACGTAGCAAGAAGGAACAGAAACATGAAGATAAGAAGGGACAAAGAAGGATGGAAAAGAAAAGGATGGAGTGTCAAAACGGAAGGGAGATAAAGTTGCACGAAGAAAGTGGCAAGAAGGATGGGAGAAAGAAAGGGGAAGATACTAAAAAGAGTGATTTATAGAACAAGTTGCTTCATTAGTATAACATTGATAAAGTTGACGCATCTAGTAAAACTCTCCCAGTCAGAACAAGTAACTTAATTTACAGAATAACTTAATTGAGAGAAAGTTGGTCTTATGCGTTTGTCAATCTTTCGTCTTAACAATAATCAACTATCTCATTGAGAGCTTATCAAACATACATTTAAATGTTTATTCCAAATTCAATTACTCAATAACAGGATCTGGCGGTTTTTAATGCAAATTTTTCGAACAAACTAACACAATAAGGACCGCCACTTAAAACGTTGACTACATAAACTTTGCTTAATTCATTGAATTAAATCCCTTTAACAAGATAAATTTGATACATAAGAATATAAAAAGTAATTGAATTTTTTTGTCCTAAATCGAAAATTTACATAGCAGTAAATTAGAGAAATAAACGAATAGCTTGTTAGAGAAATTAACTTAAGCATTAACTTACGAAGCGAGGACTAGGCCATTGACAATCAGGTTCTTGTAAGGGGGCTTGTCGAACAGCGCTGTTGATAACACAAGCAATGTGTAAAACCTGAAAAAGCAAGTGCGAACATCCAGTAAAAAATACTCCATTCCAAGGCATAATAAGATGCAAGATTTTTGGCAAAAATTAAACCAAATTTAAGGCAAGGATTGTAAAAGAAAACCTTTTTGAGACAAAACAGAGTTGAATAAGTAAAAGAGAGAGGCAACTAAAAATTTTCTGTTCAAAAGTCAAAACTTCCTTTAAATCTGTTTTATGAGATATAAAAGATTTGGTCGCAGTTCTCCTTTACCCTTTACCATCACTACTTATGTTTCTACTCATAAGACATCATTTCGTGATTATGGGATTACTAGAAAAAAACATACTAAAAATTCTTTAAAAAGGAAGGAAAAATTACAAGGAAAAAGTTTCTTTTGGAAGACATCAACAACGAGATATGAAACTTTTAACAGGAGAAGAAGGGTTACACTTTTGTTCGTTAAGCAAGGCAACGAGACGTTCAGCTCTCGGAGAGAGAATTTCACCATGCATATGGCAGATAGAGGTAGCAATTGTGGAGGCTCAAGGTGGGATGGTCTTTAACAAAAATCAGCTTTGCCAAAATACAATTACATTTTGCAGAGAGGACGGATAGAATATATAGTTTTTGATTTCCTCACCAGCCGCGGGTTTGATCAATCCCTTCTGCAATGAAATCGGCGGGAAATGATTTCTCAAACGTCTCTTTGTTCTCGAACGGATAATGAGACTGTGCATAAGGCATGCTGGAAGAAAATAATCAACAAGGTTTTATAGAGCATTGTAATAAGTAGCGATTTATTATTCCTGCAACTGCAACTATTACACAGGGTTAATCATGTATGCGATATGTCTGGTGGAATCAAGTCAGTCTTAGGTGCAACTTGTCAACGTGGGGAAGTCATTTTTTGTATTCTCACTCAAACCATAATATAATATCACATTAACTGACAAAGAATAATGTTTTCGATAAAAAAACTTCACATACTTTCCATAACTTTATATTGCAGATACAGGCGGACTTTAATGAGAATAATATTAACATCCAGTTTAAGGTTTGCATGTTTAATACTCCCTTCTTCCAATTCCCAAAACTCTCTCACTTTAGCGCCTAGCACCCTTCTATTGAACATAGCATAAATTCATATTAACCACTGTTCGTAACCAATCAATCAACAAAACACGTTCTTTTCCTCTCACGTTACTTTCGTTCCAAAATTGTTTGCTTACTTTTGGTCACTATCCGAGGTTTAAAATCTGAAGAGAGTTGGACGAAAAGTACTTAAGTTTGCTATGTTTCCGCTAATTCGTGCCATCTTCAAATTTTGCAGTACCAAAAACCTATTTACTTACCGTTAACAAATACAGCAATCTAAGCAAATATCAATTAAAGAATCAAAAGCAAAAACTTGCTCAAAACCTTGCATCGACTTTTATCATTTGATGAAACGCTAGATTTCACAGACTTAAAAAGTAGCTATATATATGAAACACAACGTTGTATCTTTTGATTTAGAATTTGCAAAATAGTTTATGTAGGACACCGGACTGAAAATCTAAGTTGTACCAATTATTCATATCAATAGCTGATGAACAATTTCAATGGCTTAGTAGTTTATTACTAAATAGAAGGATAGCTGGTCAGCCCAAGAGAAAGTGAGCAATTTAATGAAGGAAGGGTCTGTTACCTGCCACTTTCGAACCAACAATCGAACACTTCCGAAACACGTCGAAGAACCCCCTTTCCTTGTTTTGAAGGGATTGTGATGCCATCAACACTGCAACAAAAAACATCTATTATTTCAAGAAAATTCAAACATTCAGAATTTCTACAAAAACAAGAAAATTTAAGTGCCGAGCATTCAAACTTATTTGCTTCTTTTTCAAACAAGAAATTTACACTAAAATTATGTTGAAATTTTTTTATGTTCCGGTGATTAATCTCAATCATCAACATTTTCCATATGTTAAGAAGCATCTTGATTCAGCAAATGAAGTAAAACAATGAACAATTAAAACCGTACAAAAGATTTCTTGACAAGAAATATGAGATAAAACTCTTATATGAATTGTCGACATTACATACATTGGTTCATTTCCCTAAAGAAGCATTCTTTGAAGACGACAAATACTATAGTTTTCGATGACTGACCGCAAAAACTTCCAATAGCTTTGCAGGATATCCTCAAAAGATTGATTGCAAATTAACGAAATATCAAAACGCAGACACTCTATTAAAACTTTTAATCGCATCCCATTTTTAAATAAAAGCAATTCATAATAGTAAAAGGACAACAGCATATTTGATTTGTTTCTGGAATTAGGCCAGTTTCTGTAATCGCACTTATCAAAACCACGTTGCCAAGAGCGGGAGCTAGAGTTTTGATTTCCTGGGTTCTAGATAGTCTATAGATGGTTACGTAAAAAGAGATTTAATAAAAGATGCGGAGGAGAAAACCAGTCCTTTTCTCCTCTTCAAGTTTTACAGAACTCTGCAGATCTGCTTTACCTTTCGCGATGAAGGTCAGACACCTTGACTCCAGATAATTCTTCTAGTTCCTTAATTGAGCCAACGCACACGACCTTGAAGAAAACATGTAGGAATAAATAAGCGGGAATATTTAGCAAACAGTACGTGAAAGAATCAACATCATTTGTGCAGAAAGCATTGAAACACGAAATTTAACTCTAATGTCAATTGACGGTTTAAATTCCCCAGTCGATTGAATCCATAATGGATTGCAACTAAGCCCTCTTCATTGTTCTCGCGACAACCAAAAAATGTATCACAACTAATATTAAAATTCTTTCGCTCAGAGAGATAACATTCTGTGACGTCAGAAGATGGTCACACATACTACAAAAATCTAAAATATTTCTTTGTGAAAAATTGGAGGAACTACGCATAATGAAAAGAATGAAAAGCCCCAATGACCAATAAGTACTTGTACAGATATCCTTTTATTTGTGAAACGATAAGTATGCACCATCTTAATTTCTAAATTTAAATTTCCAATACGGAAAATAAAGGTAGATTAAGACCAAACTAGCTTAAAGCCAAAAGTGCCTAAAAGCCATTTAAGGATTACAAAAGATCAAACCATTGGAAAACCAACATTTTCAACTGGAAGGTATTTCAAACAAACAAAATGCTACACTCATGTCCCTAATGGACAAAATTGTGTTCCACAAGATTTGTTAACAGATAAGAGATAGCTTCTTCATAATATATGTATCTACTTAGGGCCTGTTTACATGAGCAAATTCATCCCACCCCTCAGCCCAGAATCTTGCAGGTGAGATGTAAGCATCGAATGTTTACATACATATTCTTTCCCACCATTCAGCTGTACATGGAAAGAATTATCACACCTTCCAGCCTTTGTTCTGACAAGTGGAATGAAATTGGATCGTGTGCACATTAAAATTCCATCCCGCCTTCCAGCTTCATCCCACATTCCAGCGTTTATATTGAAAAAATTAATCCTACCCCGGTGAGACAGATCCCACCTCTCAAGCAGCGGGATCTCACAAAACCGAGCTGGCTCATTTTCCATACAAACGCAGGACGAGGAATACAAAGGATTCTTTCGGAGGGTGGGGTCTCACCTCTCAGCTCACAGGCTGGAAAGTGGGATGATTTTCTCCATTTTAACAGGCCCTTAGAATCGAACCTTTAAAATACGTTTTTGCAAGTCACGGGAATATCGTGGGTAAGGAAAATGTATACCCGCCGAAAGAAGAGAGTTTTCAGTGCAATATAACCTATTTCTAAATCCCTTTCAATTTGAAAAATTCTAAAGTCACCTTGACATTTTGCTACATATGCTTCAAAATACATTTGCAACTCAACAAACAATCAAATATCCACACAGATAAGCATTTGCATCCGATGTATACCCAAGGATCCTAACCACAGAATAAATTATGTGATAGGGTCCCCGAATCGTACAATATTATCGCCTTTAAATGTGTGACAAATTGCAAATCTCACTCATTTAGAAAGCCAATCAAAACACGATACTACATGCCCATGCTCAGAGACAAATTTTCTAAGGTACTTGAAATTCTAAAAGAACATACCTCCACAATTCAACGAGCCTTTTTAGGAACCGTTTAGACTTTTTGGAAAGCTAGTAAAAGTGCTACACTTGTCTAGACCTTTGATCAACTGCTAATTGTCGACAAAAAATGAATAATTTCAACACAGCCTACCTCCTTGAAGTCTTCGCTGACCCACAAAGGTATTGGTGTTCCCCAGTACCTGTTCCTCGAAATGTTCCAATCACGTGCATTTTCCAGCCAATTGTGAAATCGCTTTTCTTTTACAAATTCAGGAACCCTATGAAAAATATTTAACCGCCATTAAAATTTTAAACTGCAAAAGCTGAAAACTTTTAACCTCTAACAAATAAGTAGGGTCTACATTCTCAAATGATTGGCAATTTTTATAACCTTTTACGTTTAAGCGTATTCATATTTACCCTATAATAAAATTTATTGTCTAAAGGCTTAAACAATCTTTTTAGGCCTGTCAGTTTGAAGTCGCACAAAGTTTTGCATAGAAAGAAGAAATGCTTTGTCTCCCATACAATCATATCTGGTAAAGGAAAAAGCATCATGAACCGTACCCATCATCACCCTTCCATATGTTTCCCACGCGTTCAATGTATGGACTATTGAACAGAAAGGTAAGAGAGGGAGTTGCTCTGTCAGCTTGAAGAGCTCTTGGAGAGGATCAGTGTCTAACGGTAGGCGTTTCAATCAATAGCAAACAACAAGACTTTGCGAGATCATGAGGTGCAGATGCGAATCTCTACTTCACATCTCTAGGTAAAAATGCGATTATTAACTGTATACACACCAGTAGCACTGTTTGTTGTTTGCAAGAAGTTTTTGAACGATGCCTTCAACAGCGACGAACCAGCCAGGAACAGCTTTGTAGATCAGAGGGGTATCTGACCTGCAAACGATTCATATGGGTGTTAGCAAATATAACATTGATGTCAATTTTTACAAACCCTTTGATTCGATATCACTTTGCTTATTCCATGAGAAGTTTTCCTATGAAATATCGTAATATTGTACCCCATCCTCAGACAGTTCCTTTGCTAGTTAAACAATGGAAACAAACCTACATTATTCTTTGATAAAACAATAGATTCATCCAATGAAGATACAGTCATAAGCTGTAACGTACAAAATTTGTTATAAGCTTAAACGACACGACAAACCTCCAACAAAATGGATAGCTGTGCTTAACATTGCCTTGATGCACAAGTTTTCCGTTTTGCTTCAACATTTTCACAATGTGTTTATCCGCATCCTGTAAACACAAAAATTATATATATACAAATGCATCACTCAAAACTTTGTTTATCAGCCTCATTTCATGTTTGGTTATCCTCATTTCACGTCAACGAAAGTTTTAGAAATTTTTTACCATATAAGACAGACAATGGAAATTTATCAAAACATAAAAAATTTCTGAACTCTTTAGCATTGATATTGCAATTGAAAATTATACCTTGCAACAAATTTCTGGCTACGTTTTCAAAACAAACGATTCGTTAAATAATCGTAAGAATTTTCCTTTTATAGTGAAAAAGCGAGCGATCTCACTTGGCAAACTACATATGTGTGTTGTTTATTCGTAAACATATGAGCGGGTCTATCAGTCAAAGGCTTTTACACCCCTTCAAAGTCAGGGGCATCTTGCTTTCATAGGTTTATACAATATCCCCCCCACCCCCCACCCCCCATTACGTTATTCTTCGACCAGCCAATATCAAGATTCTTTATTAGCTTCTAAACTTTATGCTTCTAGTACTCCTAGCACACGCAGTTTCCCACGCCAAAAAACAGTAAACGCATAATTCGCAAACTAAAGTGCAATGCACCAACCCATACATACCTTCACGTACTGATTTTTGAAATCCGAGACCGGATCAGTAAAGACTCCACTAGCATCAACCGGACACGGTAGTTCTCCGCCCTTCGCTATCACTCCATTCGCCATACAAACTCTGTAATCATCCTTTGTTAAGAAGAAATAGAATCAAAAATCAAGTTGCTCAAAAAGAAAAAATTAAGCAGAAACAAAAACTCTTTACTTAAAAAACAAAGAAATTGAGGCATGCTGCAAAATTTTGCTTAGTTGCAAATTTGTAAGTCTTGATATCAATTTTGGTATGTGCTGCTTAAGGCCAAATTCATTTTGGCATATTGATTCCATTCTGATTTCCATCTTTTTACGAGAAATAATTAGCCGTTATCACAAAGTACACATTTATCTTGTTTTTATGGATGCTTTGTGTCATAATGACCAAAGCATTTTGCAATATATTGCAATACTTTTTCGCCTAGCACTACACAGGGTATAAAACAACTTTAAAAAAATTTCAAAATGAACAGAAAAATTATATCTATAAATTGATACAAAATATAATACTTCATAAAGCGTGGCAGTGTTATGGTCTCCAATCTGACAAATAGTCGAATACTTTTCATACAATTTTGTACAAAGAGTATTTGTTTTTGGTTTGCTGTGTTTCCTTAATTGCTGATTTCTCTCAGTTTATATGACATCCAAATAATGACTTGAAGAGAAGAAATATGACGTGAGCCCTTTGGCTTAATTATTTTCATTCCTCGAGGTACGGAATTTCACGACAATGATTAGTAATAATCACAAATAAATTGTTTAACTAAAAACCATAAAACCTTGTTATCCCCCTTTTGAAATTAGTGCACAGTGATTTTTGCTTAAGACCTATCAAATATGCGGTTTTAGTGGCAAAGAATACACAATTAATTGATATGACAAGGAAATTGGGAATAATTTCCGTCGAGACTGCTCCAGTCCAAGTCGTGACCATAATTTCCGATTTTAGTGCTGGATGAAAAACTAAACTGATATTGGTAAAATAGGACGCTTTGACTCTATTTAGTGGCAAAGATCGATTGGATTAGAACATTTTTTCATTACTGCTTATAAAGACGTAATAAAGGACAAAAAACATTAAGTAAACATATAAAACACGATATTAGAATTCTGGCAAACATTTATCGCAATGCAAACAAATATCGGCAATGACAGAGTATTCGTAAAAGATTATAATATGAAGATAAATTCCAGCTAGATTCCTAGATATTTTTTAGCCTAAAACTTTTTATGAAAACTTCATCTCCTCCTTCTTCCATGTCCCTATTTAGTCCATTGAAATATTTTATTTGCCATCAATGTTCCGCAATTAGTCAAAAAATCAAAAACAAAAATCGAAAACAAAAATAAAAAACAAGCGATCCATCAAAGTTTATCAAAAATCTTTAAAATAGCGACCATATCAATTCAGGCTAATTGTTTTCATCTTCAGCAGCCATGTTTAAATATTAGCGCCATTTTCTCGTCAATTTGAGCAAATCCAAGCATTTCATTTGGATCTAGGTTTTCACTTTGTTAATGAGGAAAATATATGATGGAAGAACTGCAGTATTTAGAACACAAAGCGCTTAGTCAGGATCGTTTCATGTAATCGGTTAGAAAATCATGGAAAAAGATGACAAGGTTATTTCACGGAGAGACGGAAGGATTACAGGAGACTGACCTGTCTGGAGCATCAGATATGCGGATGATAAGGCAGTGATTGAGTAGCATGGTTCTAGTTCATATGGGAGAATATGTAGAAAGGACTACTGATCACTGTGCAGAGGCAAACGAAGGGAAAGAGAGGGGGGGAGGGTAAGCCAAAATGCTTCAACTGAATGGGCAAAGTAAGGAGCTTGTGGGATGGGGAAGAACGAGAAAATTTCGAAGAGCAGCCATGACTAGAAACGCCTGAGGTTATGCACAAGGGCAAGGTGCTGATTGTTTTAAAATCTATATTGTATAGGCTTTTCTTATGGGTTTTTAAAAGAGAGGGATTTTGGAGACAAAATTATAAGAAGAGCTAATTTATGGAATTCACTCTGACCTTAAGAGAGGAAAGGAACTTTTATAGGCTATGTTATCGGCTATGTTATCGGCTATGTTATCGGCTATATTTATAGGCTATCATCGTGGATTAAGTTCAATCGACAGATACTAGACTGGCTTAGGCCATTTTTCAATCAAAATTGGCCAATCAATAAGGATAAAACCATTAACGCGTTTAATGATTGGACAATAGCTAATTGAAAGAAAGCTCAAGCCACTTAAGTATCTGTTGATTGCCTTCACAGAAAAGCCGAATTGTTCAAGGGGGCATTGTACACAGAAAGGCTATTTTCACCAAAAAGCTATGTTCCATTTTATCCGTATGAGAATAATGAAATAAATCAGTTATGCTGGTCCATTTTTGAGTTGTTATAATGAAAATTAAAAAGGCTGTTTGAATAGGAAAATTTTGCATTAGAAAATTATTAAACTTTAACAAACGTATATCATTTAGTATAAAATAAAATGTTTTTCAAACGCCTTCTCATATCATGTTTGCTACATTTTAAAAACTCGTGTTCCACAGCAGCCTTTCTCTTGAAAAGACGAATGAATCTTTTGGCAAAAGAAGACATTGGTTAAGCAATTCTGTCTTCAGATGGAAATAGATTCTTGAACTATGTTAATAATTTAGCTGTCAAACAAAGAGATCCAAAATGAAATCCCTTCACAGCCAGAACTAAGCACCGAAACGAACTTAAGATCACTTACCTCACCAAAGGCAGGAGCCGAATGCACAACTCCCGTGCCGCTATCATCTGTGACGTAATCATCAGCAAAAATTTGAAAAGCACCTTTTTTCTTCATCTATAACAAAGGAATTGGATAACAATACTGAAGGGATATTTACAAATAATGAAGATCACTGTTTCGCGAGGTCCATTTTACGGTGTTCGATGCCATATAGACAGCGCTTCGATGTGTAGAACAGAACGATTCTAAGCAGCAACTCGAAGTTTCCAACTTACGAAATATTTTCATGTGAACGTTTTTCAGTTCTAGAAGGTGGCCTTGAAGAGGTTTATAGCAGAGCTACAGCAATTTTACGAGCAATAAGGATAACTTGTAAGGTAATTAAGCTGGAATATTCGGGAAACATTTAAGTCTTTATATACCCGTATATGCCATCGATATGCTATATTACATATATACCAACTGGGCCACGAAATACAAGATTTGTCAGTATCGCTGCCTTACAGCTTGTTTGAATAACGGTTATAAGTAACATTAGTACACCTCCAGAGACTTTGTACACCTTAATATAGCTTGCACACCTTTAACACATTGAGCGCCACAATAGACTTTGTACACCTTAATAAGCCTTCGGTACCTTAATACGGCCTATCTTTTTATTCAATTTACTTTTAAACATCATCGAAAAATCTTTTGATCATTCAAAGAACAAACTGGAGAGACAGACTTTATAGATACTTAAACAAACTAAAGCATAAAAACTTTCAAAGGTAATCAATATCAATGTTATAGGGAATTTAACAACAAAAAGAAAACAAATGTTGGATATGCATTTAGAGAAAAGTTTGAATAAACGATATACTTACATGGTGAAAATAGTTAAACGGAGGATTGTATCTCTTCCCTTTCAGGGCATTACCAGGGAATCTAAAATAAGAATAACAATCCACTTAACGAAATAAACATTGATGATTGGAAAGCATTGAGTAAAAGCCACTTTTTAAATTGTTTCAACGTTGTTTATTGACACTGTTGTATCCAAGCTCGCTCAATGCTGTTTTTATTGTAGAACAGGTATAGTGTAGACCAAAAAACAGTCACACGAAGAAATAAATTCTTATAAAGCAGTGTCTCTGGAATCTTTCATGGTAAAAACTCGAATAAAAGGCATGAACCAAATATTTTTAAAGTATCAAAAAGTCCTGTGCTGCTTGGAATTTAGATTACTAATATTATTATTAGGGGTGTACCGGATCAGGATTTTCAGAATCCGACCGGAACCGGATTTACCGGATTTCTTCATGGAATATCCGGCCGGATTTTACCGGATAATCTGGCCATTTATGGATTTTTCAGTAATAAAAAGTTTTGAGCCACTTTGCGAAAAAATGTATAGCGACAAGATCAAAGAGACCCATTCAGGGTTGCCAGATTGAATTTACAAACGAAGGCTAGACTGGTGAGCAATTTAAGCCAAAATGCTCATAAAAGGCCAAATCAAAAACTTTCTCAAGAATCCATCGAGCAGGCACTGGTTATATTTCTACGCTTGTGCCTGTTAGGTAATTTCTACGCTTGTGCCTGTTAGATAACTTAGATAAGAATCTTACTTTTTTCCAAAACTCTTTGCTAATATCAAGATAATATTTAGGTTAGGTGATAAAATTTGAAATTTGGTTAACACTTTGTAGTTAACTACTAATTATTCTATGAATGTAGTAATTGCTTATTAATTTTGGACGTCTGCTGAAAAGGCCAACAAGGTCAAATTTGAGTATTAGGCAAAAAACAATTTTTCCAGGCAATCTAAATCTAAAATCCAAAAATGAAAAATTTGGCCTAAAAAGCCAATCTGGCAACCTTGGATCAAATTTGTGAATTATATCATCCAGTCTTCCTGTTTCGTGATGACGAGCACTTTGATTTCAAATCTGTTTTCAAGGCGCTTGTTTTATCATAAAAATGTTATCGTCAAGTTAGTGTAGTTATTTTTTTACCGATTTGAAACATGAATTTGCTGTTTCAAGCTTGTAGAGTTAGTCAAAGTTCAAGAGTTATAGACGTTGAAAAACTGTGTCACTTTGTGCTGTGTACGGAGCAAAGTCAGCTACTCTGATAGCTTTTCGTAAGCTGCGTTTTAGAAGATCTAAGGGTGATATGTTTGCACATCAACTTACACTAACATTTTTGAAGAGAAGCGATCAAGACTTCTTCCAAGGAAAGGCAAGAAGTTGCCTTTCTTGCATCACAACCTGGGACGATTATAGCATTTTTATGTTTGACTGTTTTTATGTTTGACTGCCGATTGGGACGCTTCTTTTTAACTTTTAAAACTTCGTTCAAGTTTGTTCTATTGCTTTTAATTTTTGTTGTTCTTTGTATTCTCTAGAAAATTTCTTAGTTATGATTAAAATTCTGGAAAATCCGGCAACTGGCCGGATTTTGGAAACAAATCCGGCCGGAACCGGATTTTCAAAAAATCAGCGATCCGGCGCCGGATTATCCGGCCTACCGGATATCCGGTACATCCCTAATTATTATCATAATAACACTATTTACAATTGGTTAAAACAAAGACAGTTTCAGTTCGAACTAACTAAGTCCAACTAATAAAGTCCAACTAATTACACAAACAAAAACTAATAACTAGATAAATAAAAACCTTTAATTTTGGAGAGAATTCCACGGACTCTATCTCCAAATTACGCATGTACAATTATCACCTTTCCACTTTTAAATTGATCCCCTAAGCTAACATTGATTGCCAGGTTTTTTATCGAAGACTTTTTGTGGAATTTACAACCAGACATGGGCATTACAAAACTTTATGCAGATTCGTACATCACTAAGGATGTTGCCTGACATCGCAGGATTTGCAAAGTGAAAGTAGAACAATATCATACAAACTTGCATTCACCTTTCCAATATTGTATACTCTGACTCGTTTTTGAACAACGCACTCAGCCTAGCTTCCATCATAATGTATGTTCGTTCTGTTGAATTGTCTAAAACACAGAAATCGTTTATTGCCGAAAAGCCCATTACGTAACCCTCTCGCTTGGAGAAATTACTATCCCAATACCCAAATCTTTGTCATAAAAGCACATCCCTACCAATTTATCCCCCAACCCACCTATGCTTCCTCAATTTACGCTTTAGTCCCAATCTAAAATCCTGCTTCCTTTATAAGGATGGAAGTCGTCATCACTATTCATGCCCCGTATTTTAAATCGCTTCGTCAGTTACAACACATACAAATACGAGAAAATACGCAAAAAGGACCACGTTTATCAGGTTAGCATTTCTGTGAAAACCTTGTCAAAAAGTGGTCAAAGAGAATTATTTTCCTTAAATTGAAAATAGAAATGATATCAATCAAAGCATTGCTTAAATACTTTTTTGAAATACAAGAAATAAGTGCAGACGAAGAATCATGAGGTTTTTATGTAATTGCCTGGCTAATTTTTTGCCAGCACGAAAATCAAGCAACAACAAATACGTGAAAAAGATGCATGAAAAAAAATAAAAAGCGAATAAGGTTGCAAAATATCAGATTTATACACCATCCTGCATAATATCACTCAGAATTAGCTGAAGGTACAGGATAAATTACAAAAAACCAGATGTACACATTTGCCATGGCCTACCTTTTACTTTGACGTATTGAAGGTTTGGGTTGACAACCAACGCCATATTACTTGGCAATGTCCAGGGGGTCGTTGTCCATGCGATCATGCTGACGTTGGGTTCGCTTTCCAGGGGGAAGCTGACAATTACTGTTAAATGACAAAACGGAACATCATTACTTTGATTTTCTCAAATATATTCATATGTATATATAGTGAATTTAACATTTAAAGTATATCACAAAAGTGTGTGCTCAAAATTTAACACAGACAAAATAATCAAGATGCTTGTGAAGACGTTTCAAGGACAACATAAATTATACGATTCGAGTCCTACGTTAAGACTTACTTGAAATTCTAGTACTATGTTGAACAAAATTTCAATTTTCAAGAAAACTCAGAGTTTGGTTACCAAACAATTCAAACCCATATCTTTCAGATGATTTCTCCCGCGACTCTATTATGAATAAAAAATCTAGACCGTAAATTGGCCTGATTCTCAAAACGAAATAACATTAGGCCAAAACAAGTAACTAGGTATTACCAGCAGGATCATTAACTTCCTTGTAGTTTTGGTTGGATTCAAAATTGGATAACGGGGTGTTGCATTTGGTGGAGTAAGGCATCACCTAGAACGACATTATATATCAAGATTAACGTAATAACTATACCGAAAAATTCCTTATTGTGTCAAATTTAGTTCACTACTGGAACTCATTAACATACAGGACAGAAACTTCAATTAAAAGTTCCAATCCTCCTATTGGATTTGCGTATTTTTTCATAATTATAAGGAGTTAATCACCATCTAAAAACTGAAAAGTTGTTTCACAGGGTTAAAAAGGAGGTACACTTATCTTCTACATCGATGCCCTCTATAAATAGGGAGTTTTCCAAAAATGTAAAAGAATTCTAGCAAGTCAGCATATTAAAACCAATATCAGGACAAAGCAATAGCAAGAGCATATCTAAAAAAGCTTATATCTACTTATTTTCATTTGTTTATCATAAGATGCAAAGATGGTTATGGCTCAGTGGTGAGAGTTGCAGACTACAGACCGAAGAGTCAGGGTTTCGAGTACCTGACATAACCAAACTTTTACTTGCAGTGAAGGGAGTCAACAACTCTCTGCAATTCCAGGCATAGGAGTCACAAGGTGTGGTCAGATCGACAAAAAGGACCAGGACACTGCTTGATAAGCATCGCTCTGGTTGTTCTAAAAACTACCTTTGGATGCTAGGTAGAAACAAATACAAATGAAAGTCAAATGTGGCTGTCCAATCAGAAATCTGAAATCAAAAATCTTTATTACTCTTCCGAACAAGACTTTTCTGCAGACAAAAGTTACGCTGTTGAGAATCGAGAAGCAGAGAAATACAAACCCTAAATCCACGATAAACCATGTTCTTCTCAAAAAGCTGTTTGAAAACCCACCTACAAACAGAGAAGTTAAAAAAAACTCAGTTTGCAACATAGAATATGGAGACACGAATGAATTTTCAAACAACCTTGATATCAGTCTGACTAATTTTATGAAACTTAAATTGCCTCTGCAGGCAAAGGTGTGGATAAAATCTTTAAATGGAAGGGAGGATAAGAATTATAATTATAATTTTCACTTTATTGAGTCTCACAATGACAAAAGGGATTTATAAAGCAAGGACTTACCAGACTGACTCCATAAACCATGGATAGAGGGTCTTGTAATCATTTTCAAAATCGATCCATCTCCCCAATCGTTTCACTGTAAACTGTAAATCAAAAGATTTAACATTCAGTTAATTTGGTTTATTAATGATATATTTATATATAAATAAGCAAAACTCCATTCCAGAAAGCAACTTTGTGAGCTATGATATATTTTTGGATTAAATTCAGTTAGTGATTAACTCAAAATAAATGAGAGAAACAAAGCCAACTTACAAAAAATGTATACTAAAATGATCAAATCCAGTCCATCAACATTAAGAACTAAAAATTGGTACTAACTTGCCTATATATTGTATCCCTCCATGTTACACAAAACATGCAGAAAAACATAAATGGGAACAATGACAAAATAGAATCAGTTAACATTAAGTAGACAATTAGCCATTAAAAAAGGGATACCTCCCATTCTTCAGAGTATCTCATAACAATTTTACGACATTCAGCATTGTAGTTTTCAATGCCCATTTTCATTACATCTTCTGGTCCCTGAAAAAAGAATTTTTTTATCAACATTCCCCCTCTGAAAGTTAGCAGACTGATTTATTAGACATGAATATTACCCTTTTAAAAAAATTGTAAATTGTCTTACCATTTTTTTGAAAATTTGAATTAAAAATAAGACATGTTACATTGTCTACATTAATGTCTACATTAATGTATAATGTCTACATTAAATCTAGAGGGTAATTCACAGGGAAGATTTTATTAAGGCATAGTACAAGCTGGAGTGGAGATTAGGTGATGCCAACCAGAAGCAATAAAATCCCTGACAATGTCTGCAGCAACATAACATGAGTGACCTAGCCAACATAAAACTACCTTGACAGGTTTGGTTGGCTACCATGTACCTCTATTCACATCTTCAGCTTGAAATTCTGCATTGAAGATGTCATATTCAAAGGTTTAGCTAGCAATCATACTTGGTAGTCAAAGAAAATCAAAACTGATCTACCTTGATTCCAAGTTTCTGATCAATTTCAAATTCCTAAAATAGGAAGAATACTATAGATGAATTTTCCTTTAAAGAGAACAAAAAAATCATAACCACAAGAAATGAAATCTAAATATCTAATGAAAAACGAATAAGAATAAGCTTCTTGATCATCCCAACTACAACCCCACAACCCTACAACTACATGTAAAAGACATTACCCAAAAAACTGTTCAGACAAAAGGAATCATTTTCACTCAAATCAGCAAATAGATGTTTAGGATATTTGGGTACATGAGAATTACCTCAACTTCACAACGCTTATACATAACCATATCTTTTAAGAAAATGAAATAAAATACAAGGTATAATTTTTTTTCTATTTTCAACTTTATAGAAAAGTTACAAGAAGAATGCAGGGGAGAGGGACCAGGCCTAGAGCAGGCTTGTTGATGAAAAAAATGTATGAATGAGGTGGAGTCTTACAACTGGAAGACCATGACAATCCCAGCCAAATCTTCTCTCAACATGAAAACCTGACTGATGGGCATATCTTGTGACAATATCCTGAAAGAAAAATTGATAAATAATAGTTCTTGAAAATCTAAGTGTTTTTCAGCACTTAAGCCTACAACTAAAACATACAAAGTTGATTTTCTATTTTCTATAAGATTTTTGAGCAACTGTTTAAATATTTCTACAACATTTTTGGAACATTTGAGCAAAAGTTTTTCAATGGATGTGGAAATATGTCTTCAAGGCCCCTATTGAGAGTCAAAAAATGATTGAAAAAGATACCTTATTCTGTAATAGAACCTGATACAAAACTACCAAAATAAATAATACCTTTATTGTGCCAGCAAGAATATGGCCATAATGAGGTAGTCCAGTGGCAAATGGGGGACCATCATAAAATGAAAACCTAAAATAATACATATCATACATAAAGACAAATACAAAACAGACATAGGATACAATACCCTGGATACAAAGGATCAAGGAGCAGTCTTTACGTGCATTATTGAAACTTTGAAGTTACAAAGCAAGAACATTTTAGTGATTTAAATTTACTGTAAAAACAAAGCTAACTTTATGTGGGAAATTCGTGTACAAACATTTTAAAATGTAAAAAGAGAGGACAAGTGTTAACTTGAAGTGAATAGTCTGCATACTCTTTGATCCTTTCTTTGCATGGGTAATAGAATGTTCAGTTTTCTGAAAAGTTAAGCGGTTTATTCCCTTTCAAAAACATGGTTTGACATTTGAAGTCCATTTAGAAAACTGAGAATACAGGATACTGCTTAATACTATGGCTGTGATTTACCAGTGAGATAGAGCATCTTGTTGGGGGGTTGGCTTAGTTCCATAAAGAAGACAAGACACCTCTGTATTTCCAAATATGGCTCTTGCAGTTGCACTTCCGAAAACAATGGATACAACTGGCCAGGGATGGAAAATCAGAAAAGATGAATTCAACTTTCATAACTTTCTGATACAACTACATGAAAGAGCTTCTGCTTCTAATCCTTTTCTGTGAAACGTTTTACATTACTATCACTACAAATTTCTGAATGTGCATGATTTCAGGCGCACAGTTGCAGATTTTCAAACTGTACTTGTCCAGCACAAGAAGCAGAGTTTCCAGTCTGGGTTGTGAGGGGGATTTCCTTAGAGTAGAGAGGAGGCCTAATTTAAATTTTTGCCTCAAGTGAAGCTTAATTTCGGCATGAGAAAGAAGGTTAAATTTGAGTGTAAGCTCAGTAACCTTGGCTTTCCTTCTGATTGCTTAAGTGACGTTTTGAAAGCATCGAGCTTCTTCCATAACTCCAGAATTTCTTCTTCTTCCTTGGGGAAGTTGTGAGTGTCTCCAACTGACTTTGCCATGTCTGGGGTCAAAAGACCTCTTGCAGCTACAGTTGAATGTGGCAGGAAATATCTCCGTTTTCTACAAAAAATTGATCGACCAACTTGCCTAAAATCTAAAACACAATTCCCCAAATTAGAATGCTTTAGCCAACGACAAAACATCTACTCAAGAGCTACCATTTTAATCACGAGAGCTTGCATCACTTCCAATGCTTGAATCAGCCATCACTCATTCTCGTTCTCGCGAAGAGGCTCTGATTGTATCAATCAAGGACGGAGCAAGATGGCGGGTCCAATCAAGAGGGTGAGTAACAACATGTAAACTACCAATTTCCATGCACATTTTAAAGTCTCGCTGCAGATCTTTCCACGGAAAATTTTTGCTAGTTACAAAATTTTTAGTAATTTGTGAAATCGGTTTCTCTACATGGCATGGGAATATATTTAAATTAAACTGAAAGAGTCATTTATAATATTATCAACAAATTCTGCCAGATCCAGTTAATAGTATCGAGCCATTAACGAATGAACCCCCTAACCCTCTCGAGGGAAAAATTCATTTGTAAATGCCTGCATTTACTAGAGGGATACTTTATGTTGCAAAAATTTGCAAACAGCTGCTAACTGGCCTCGCTGTTTTCTATTTTTTGTGTAGGGCAAAGTCAGCCTCTTTTAAGATACGTATAACGTTAGGTTCTGAATTCGGAATACTACGACACTGCAATAATTTGTTCCTTTCATTCCGCCTGCAAAACTGCCCATTTACCGTAGAGTCTCCACATAATACTTGTTTATCTGGTCGTGTATATTCCACCATTTAGAGCGATGTTGGGCTGGAGCCATCGCTCTTGTGCAAATGAATTGTATTTTTGGAGACTGAAGACTGAATCATGATGAACCATTCACAGGGGTTATGTGAATTATGAAGCTGCCGCGAATGTTTGATAACTTCATGGGCACAGAAAGCTTTTGCATTGGTTATCATTAACTTTACATACACTTTTCTTTCTTCTTGGGGCAAGGAGGTGCAAGAAGATTTCTATATTGTATTATGTGAAAACTGAGGACACAAGAAGCTTCTGTTGTATCAACCAAGCTTTGATATATGCCATATGCATTGTGTTATACATTTTGTGTGTGTGTAAGATAAGTAAGGATACTCTGAAAGGCTTAAACCTGTATGGAATTTCCCACATGCTTATAACTTTGGACTTATGAAGCAGTATTTACTCTGATATATCATCCTGCAACCAGAGCTTTGTGTTTCTACTCATTCATCATTAAAACTAAATTGATTTATAGTTTAATGATCTTTTTCTAGTCCACATTTATTGTTGGTCTTGCTGTTGCAAAAAACCCTCACCAGGTAAATCATGTTTGTTTGCATTTGATGTTTAAGTTTCCAGTAAAGCAGCAAATTAATGCTCAATCCTGGCATTTCTAGATTACTTTGCAGCCTTCCATGTTTTATTTTATATCTTAAATATACATCTCCATTTCACTTGACCTAAGCTTCATATAGACATGTTAATGCCTTATAATTTGAAGTAATTTTGCTTTTAAAATTTAATTGAGTTGCAAAGGTATGATTTTAGTTATAGCTTATTTGAAATTGGCTCCTGCAAGTTGATGCTGTGTTCAATAAGATGAAATCATCATTTCCTGTTTTTCTCTCAAGTGATTTATCAATATTTCTTGTTTAAAAGACCCTTGTAGGACTCTACAACCAAACACTGTCAGTATTACACCGTCTCCCAGAAAAGTTTGCATATCGTGATCAAACAGAACAACTCACAAAGCACAGATTACATTTAGTAGAGCAGGTAAGCCTATTGACAAAATACAAACTATTTGGGTATCATCTGGTGAAAAAAGCTACCAGAGGTTCTATAATTCTAAACCTTGTTGGCAGTTAGGCTAAGTTTGCTTATTATGTTGGCTAGGATGTTGACTGGAATTTCTGAAGCCAATTAATTCATTTGAAACCTTATTAGGCACAACCGTTATCAGGCTAAAGAACTTGATGGGTTTACAGATAATGTTAAAGTGAGTTCCCTATGAAGGCCCATTATAAGTTTGCTGCTTCACGCCTCAGACTACTTTGTGTGGCCAATTGATGTGGTTTGCATCTTCAGTGGAAATTACCTTAATTGACTAATAAATTGCAGCATTTGGCTGATTTTTACAAGGTTTTACAGTTTTTGGATCCCCTATAATAAGCCCCCCCCCTCCAATAGCAAGTACTTGAGATGATATATTGATGGAGTAGCACTCTTAAGCAAATTGACTTTTAACCAGTGTTCTATTAGTTTTTTCAAGGTTTGTTTATTTCTAAGATTGAAAAAATATACAACATCATGAAAATTTACTATTTGTAGTTCAATTTTAACTTTTGCTTGTTACTTGAAGGAGAAGAATGTTGCAGAGCTTGAGAAAAAGATAAATGATGGTCAAATTGAGGAGGTTATTCAACAAGTGAGTTTATAGAATAATAAAGAGGGCAAATTTTCTTGTTTAATTAAACTGACTGATAGGAAGTAAATTGTCTATAATGTCATTACCAGCATGCATCAACTTTTTAAGTAACTCCACACTTGACTTTGGATGTATCCTTGGTTTGGATATATCAAGAGATGACACAAATTGAGCCATGTCATATCCCGATATATTATTTTATTGCTTCAGTTTTAGTGACATTTGATATTGTTTATACATTTATTTACCAAGGGATGAATTCGTTTTTGTAGGCAAAAAGTGAGCTCTCCTTAGCAGGAAAGATGGAGGAATGGAAACCTTGGGAACAGTTACAGACAGAAGCACCTGCTGGCCAATGGCAGTGGCCTTAGTTTATTTGACTGAAATTTGTTGTGAATATAACCACTGTGATTTGCATGGAATGTTCCTGTGAGTTTCTATATTGTTGTTTGTGTAAATTGCAAGAAATGCATAATTCTGACTTAGATTTTACCGCTGTTTTCTTTAATTAACCATCATCTGATATATTTTATTTTGTTAAATTAGAATATTGGATAAGTGGAAACCTTGAAAGTTGCCCCCTTTCCTGAGAGTCTATGGACTGTAAATGATTTATCAGGGAACTGGACCCCAGATCAAGAGCAGGAAAGGAAAATAATTTTGTAAAAGAAAGAATCCAAGGTATGAAAGTTTTGGAAACACACATAATAAAAAATGTGTTCTAGGCCTTGTGAAAATGGGATACAATGTATTTGTGCCAGTAGTGGCATCTGGACATACCTGTTGAAAGGAAAACATCATGAAATAACTAAAAGGTCAAGAATCCGCTTTCTGCAGTGTTACTGTTCTGTAAGCTTCTTCTGACAAAGATGCTTCTCTGCATAAGCATTCTAAATCAATGGGAATTGATCAAAACTAATAATCAATGGGAATTGATCAAAACTAATAGAAGCACAAACATGTTATAACAACAAGAATTATTTTTCCGATATCCAGAATTATGTCAAAACTCTATATCAAAGTGAGATACAAAAATAAACAAATCAATTGGTAGCTTAACTGCTGGCTTTTATATGAAAAACTATTGGGTAAATAAGTCAATACAATCCCATGGGGCTGCCATGGAAGAACAAGACTTCATGAGACACTTTCAGATATATTTTACTTAGGCCCATCAGAAACTGGGGGCTGGGGGGGGGGATTGGAGCCCCCTAATAACTGTAGTATATTTTCTTTATAACAGTATATCAAGCTGAGAGGAATACGATAGGCATCCCCCTAATATGAATTTCGTACTGTCGGCACTGTTAATGATTTAAGAAAAACAAAATACTTTTCAAAAACAGAGAAAAAAAGCACAATTCAATTTTGTGAATGTTATTATAATCCATAATAGAAGTTAGCAAATAAGCTCCCCATTGATAAGGAACAATCAAAGTTTGCTTTGACAAATGAGCTGCTAGGAACTGTTTGAGGATACTTGTCACATGTCAATCAAAGAATAATCACAACCTAGGGGTTGATGTAGATTCATACACAACCCTGCCTTGGCTGTTAACAAACTGGAAAACCATTTTGAAATCATTCACTGTAACAGCTGCAAACCCTCCATTGTCGGCATAGAAAAATTTTGAAGAGCCATCTGGCACACTTGACTCATGAGTTGTTCTCGGGTCCAGAAAGTTGGCATTGCCAATCACATGATACAGAACCTCAGAGTCACTTTCCTTGATTGACTATATGGAATGAAAGAACATTTATTTAGAGCAAGCTATAAAGAGATAAATTTATTGTAAAGCTTATAAATCTACAAATACAAGATGTAAAAGGCTACTTGTGTTTAAGCAAAGAGATCTTTTCACCTTCATGCCAGCATTTTCCATTGCCTCCTGTTTTTGTCACATCTTGTACATGATAAGTTTATACGGATTCTTATAACATTACTGTGTGTCCAGTATTGTGGCTTCATCCCCTCCCCCTCCATTGAGTATATACCCCCTTTGACTCTTGCTATTGCAAAGGAAATAATAAGAGTTTTTAAAATAATTTACCTGCAAGTTATGGTCATGTCCACAGATGTAGGCATTGACCTTGTACTTCTCCAGCATTGGTTTCAGCTGCTCTACGAGCTGTGAAGTTGGACCATGGTGTCCAATTGACCAAACTGGATAATGTCCTCCAACCAGGATATAATCAGATTTTGATGAAGCCAATGTTTTCTCAATCCAATCAAGCTGCTCAGATGCTATATTTGGCTCATCAGGCCCTTGAAAGACAAGGAAATAATTTTAAACACCCATTGAAAAATGAATTATTTTAAAAATTCAAAATCTATAACCTATAAATATTAAAAGTTTAAACAGCCTGCAGTGGATAAACAAAAGAGGTCCAATGACAAATTTCAGGACTTCTACGCAGAGTTTTCAGCATTGATATAATTTTGCTTTAAACATCCATTTTACTGTTGTGACCAGAATCCCATCCAGCTCTGCAGTAAACATTTCTCTGGAAAAAACGCCTATGTTGAATGGTGAAAATTTACGTAATTTTCACATACATTTGGAATGAGAAGTGCAGATTCTTTTTGTTCGAATAAACAAAACAAAATTTGTGGTTTTTCTACTTTATTTTATTTGTCACAAGTTTCATAAGTAAGAAACTTTTTACCATATTTTTGCTATGTGCGTCACTTCTAGAATTTGATGAAATTGGTTTGCAGTTAGTTTTGAATGTAAAGTAGAAGTGTGATTCTCCTTCCTTTCCAAATTTGGCTTTTTTGAAAACAAGCTCTTTTGATAAATGCCGTGTGAAATTAATGCCCATCTGGGAAATCAGATGATTCAGCAAGGGCCCGGGGCGTTTATTACAGGGAATTCGGTGTTTTCCTGTTAAAAGTTAATTAGGCAGTTTCAATCCCTAAAATAGTCAAGCTTTGTTGCCTTAGCTGTAAAAAGCACTTTAATGATTAAATGTAAGTTACAGTAAATTCTGGTCTGCAAGAAGCTAAGCCCTTGGTTACCTGTATTTCCGTATGAGTAAGAGATCGTTGAATGATAACGTGGGACATAGAGACCATTTATGATAGAGACAATTTCCTGTCAGATCTTATAACCATAGAATGGGAAAGAGCTATGTCAGCCTGCTAGGATGACCCTTATAAGATGGGCAGTGATTTTTATGATCTTTTTTCCTAAGAATTAGGAAACCTTTAAATACTTAGGTGTTATAGCAAATGAGCAAAGAGAGAGAAGGTGACCTTTTGGGACCATGATCTGAAATGTTTCCATGCGCTCTGCTTTTAGAAACACCAAAACTACAAAATCACAACTAGGGCCATCAAAAAGTGGGGGCTAGGGCCTTGAGGATTAGGAAGCCCTTGAGGTCTCCAGTTTAAAAAAGCAATGACATGAATTGTGGTCTCTTTGGAAAAGGAAAAGTCAGTCAAATTTTGAAGCAGTGCTGATGGTATTGCTGACAAACAGCAAGTCGACTCCAAATTCATAACCGCAAGGTTTGTTTAAGCAGAAGAAGTAAGTGTAAAGACAGTGTATCTTGGTATCGCAAGCAGTAAGCTTCATGATGCAGTTGGTCTTTTAGACACCGGTACAGTGTATGGATGATCTCCGTAATGATACAGAAAAGTAGGTTTGTGTGGCAACAGATTGAGAGGCTGCAAATACCGGTAAAAAGTAAAGACTGTGGAAGCTAATCAAAAACTACATTGGTAGGGACAATTTGACTGTATAGTGTGTTTGCCACAGGTCTGACTTGGCATTGGCATCCGTACAGTCTCAAGTCCATAAGCTCGTTCTCTGGATGACAAATGTCCTGGCTGTTACACCTTTTTTCTCTTCGTCTTCTCGAAGAACAACGCTGCTTATTAGAGAGAATTAAAAGTGCCTCCCGTTCCCCAAGTACTTTGAAGTCCAATTTGTAGAGCATACCCTGAATGTCCTAAAAGCCGTTCTTCACAACCTTGCAGCAGGAAGAAGCGCCTGGACAAAGATGTGCGATGGAGCAATTCCAACAAAGAAGACAGAACAAAATTGGCAAAAGGGTTTCTAAGAAAATGGGGAAAAGGTTCACAGCAGGTTTGGCTTACTGCTGTTATGTATGATCTTTGCACCATCTTTGCACAAATTTGATACTCCCAGAAATATTCAGTGGAAAAGATTGTGCTGTTGAAAATTTCAAAATAATAAGAGTTGTTCCTATTCCTCGAGGAAAAGCTGAAAAATGCAGAGCTGCCTCAAATGGTGATCAGGTTAATGTTCGCCAAACTGCAAGCGCCAATTAATTTGTGACACCCAGAAGTCGTGACAAAGGTGCAATAAGATAAGAAATAGTGCAGTCTGCAACAATTTTCTTGAACAGCGGATTAGTGTAGAAGAAGATGATACAATCAGTAGTTTGATTGCAATTTCAAAAGCAAACTCTCCCAAAGAGTTCATCGAACCAAGTAAGGACCTTGCTTCTCAAATCTTAGGAGAAAATCAAATTAGCCGATTTACTATTAGCCGATAATCAATTTAAAGCAGATCAGCCACATTGCTGTCAGTGATACTGGAACAAGCTATGCCCTCAAGCTCAGGAAGATGACACAGGCAAGTTATGGCCTGCTGAAAGTGTTTCCCCACAATTTGGCAACACAGAGTGCAGTGTCTCACTACAACAACATAAAAACGTCGCAGAGTGCTAGTTTGAAATAACAGACAATAACTAATACAATGCATATTTCTCTTTTTAAGAACTTTTTAAAGAGACTTCTTAAAGAGAATAGTAATTTGAGAAAAATCTTGAAACCTAAAACTCGGTATCAAAACAGCATAAGTAAGTGTTTTTTTTTCAACTTGGCAAAAAGTGTCCTTTTATTCAACAAATTTATAGACATGATTTGAGTGGCAAAGCAAGTACTTGCCATATAAAACCCAAGTTCCATCATATTAACGAGAGATTTAATATTCCATGCTTTTTCTCGATTTCAAAAGCAGTTTCTGATCGTAGGCTATGTAGTTTTGAATTTAGGAGCCCCAAAGGATGGACATATTCCACTAGTAGTATGATTGAAATATTCCATATGATATAACTTTTCATCCTGTGGTGTTCTTTTCATGAAATTTTGTACACTTGTGACGGAAGTAGTTGCCCACATCCTGACGCAAAAAATTATTGGATTGGAGCACATAAGGAAGACTTATTCCACTTAACGCGTTATATTTAACTGTACCAAAGGCACCCAGCCCACGAGATTCATCGGTATTGAAAATCACAAGAGTGGGAAATTTTGTTTTAGTAAGACGTATCAGAGCAGAAAAATATTGATTTATTTCCTTTAGAGCCATCAAGGATGCTGTAATTCCAATCAAAAATAACACATAAAAAACGATCGTATGATTCGCCGTTTTCATCTAAAATCGTATTCCTTCGTTTGAATACCAAAATGAGCTTTTCAAAGAATTCAATATAATAATAACATGAACTTGGAACAAATTGCCAAAAGAATTAGCTCTTCTGGAGCCTTAGAGGATGCGTTATTCCAGTTTTTTTTAAAACATTAAAATAAAATTAGGAATTTTAAAACATACAAGGCTCGGTTTTGAATTATTTGACATTACTAAACTAATGTAGAAGGCTATAACTTGCTCGTAAAATCAAATTTTGTTTAAAATGGAGCTCAAAAGAAATAAATATTCCGTTGAAATCAATGAATTCTAAAAGTTAGAAATTGTTGCCTTTTTCATCGAATTTGAAATACGATCATTGGCAAAAGATAAAATTGCATCGTTAAAGGTCCTCTCGCTTTATATGACGTATTCATGACTACATTTGCTAAAAACTTTTTATCATCTTATATTTGCAACATAGCTCTCTTAAAAAGTTCTTTAGCTATTTATGATAAAAATCAGCAAAATGTCTGCAGAAATAAGTTTTTTATTTTATGGAATTTGCATCCTTACATGCTCCAATAGCTTTAAATATATGCTTTCTTGACTTTTCACGGTATTACAGAAATATATTATCTTTTTAAATAATTAAGGTTATATTCTAATGATAACCGACTGACCAAATTTCCTGGTCTTTCATTGTGGTTTCCAACGGAATCGTTCATCCTTTTGTGCTCCTCGGACCAGATTTTGAAAATTCAAATATCTTAGATAGTATTTCAAAGATAAAAAAATTATCAAAACAATTTTGAGAGGTCCAAAATTGAAATTTTGTAAACTATTATTTTATATTATATTATTTTGTAAACTGGTATTTTGGAACATAGAATCTAAATACGCTCCTCCCAATGACGTAATATTCTAAAGTGCCACTAAAACCAGTCTTTTTCCGGAGATATAGGCCCCGTTCACACGGGAACGCAATCGTTCCGTTCCGATTAAAGCCAACCCTAAAAGGAATTTCAATGTTTGCAGAATGGTGTTGAATCTTTTAAATGGACTAACGGCGAGATTCAGCCAATGGTGTTTTTGAAATCCTCCATTTTCTTCGTTGAGTTTATTATTGTCACCTTTTCCTTCCCTCAACAACAACACAGACGCATGCGCCCAGGGCAAAACTCTTATCGTTCCATTTTCTGGACCAGTTCTGCGCGTTCACACGGGAACGGAACGGAACGATTGCGTACCGTTCCACTTTTCGTATCACTTATTTTATCGTTCCACTTTTTGGAACGGAACGATGTCGTTTGAAGCGTTCCCGTGAGAACACAACTCCTAAGCGTTCCGCTTTTCGGAACGGAGAAGAACGGAACGGAACGATATCGTTCTCGTGTGAACGGGGCCATAGTCCGTTAAAGTCAAAATTGATCTTTTTAGGACAAAAAAACTGATTTTCAGATTTTTCGAATGGACACTTTTTGCCAAGTTGAAAAAAACACTGACATAATTATTATGTCATGAACATTTTCCTAAATGTGAGTGCACCAAGATCAGAATTCCTCATTCCAAGCTATATTGTTAACTTCCCTAGCTAATGTCCTTGGTAAAAACAAACCTTAACCAAATAGATGTCTTCAAGAAATATGTGTGAAATATCCTGTCACAACTGTCGCAACAATCCCTGGTTTTTTGGGAGAAAACGAAAGCATATTACAATTTGAAGCACCGTAAAATTTCTTGTCATGAGCGTGGCCCCTTTGAAAAATGCCCCACTACTGAAAAATCCTTAAAAATGGCTTGGGCAACAGTAATGGCCGTAGTTTTGGCTAGAAACAATTTCAGTGTTGTATTCCACAGAGTTTGTGCCTTGGTCCCTTTCTTTTCATATTGTATATGAAAAACTTTGAGCAAAGCCTTGAAAAATGTACCCCTGATATGTATGCAGATAATACCAGTGTAACCTGTTCCGCAGAGGATATTGAAGAGCTGATTTGCAAAATGAACTAACAAAGACTTCAGAATGGATGCACTCGAACAAAATGAGTTTAAATAGCAAAAAGTCTGAATAATTATAGGCCAAAAACGGCAACCTAATCAAGTACAAAATAGAGTGCATTTGGAAGTCGAAGGAAAGGAAATCAATAAGACGAAATATATTGGAGTTACTGTGAATGAAAACCTGTTATGGACTGCACAGGACAAACAGACAGAAAGCAAGATAAAATGTGAGCTTTCTGCAATCAGTAAACAAAAAAATATACTACCGTCGACTAAACTAGAAAAAGTTTGTTGAGCGCTTTTCGAAAGTCACTTGCGCTACTATAATGACGTATGCGACAGTTAGTCAAAAACCAAACTTGTGATCAAGTTGTCTGCAGAAAAGGGGGGCCAGATGCTTATTGAAAATTCCAAGTTGCGGGATGGTTGGATCTGCACCTGGTTGTCTGGTTTGAACTTAATGAAATATGATAGAGCAATCATGATCTACAAAATAACCAATGACATCTACCCAGATTTACTTTTTTATCTGAGGTTCAAAGGACATTTACGCCTCTCGTTTAACCTTAAAGACTCATTGCTAACAATGAGCCATTGCGCTACGCAAGCATCCCATAGTGCATTTTTAGACTGAAATCAATTTTGGTTAATCCGTAGAAGTTTACTGCCATTGTTTGGATCGCCGCCACGCTCGCAAAGGCCCATTGTTAGCAATGAGTCTTTAATCATGCAAGGTAAAAGTTTATCTCCTTTTTCTACTTTACGACATAAGTCCTAGTTATCCCCTCGTTTTCGTGTCACCCCTTTTTCGTGTAGTAATGGAAGCGGCAATCCTTACTCTCAAGGGATATCTGCAGTTCATTTAAGAAGTCGCAATGGGGTAAGTGATAGAGACCTAGCTGAGTTATTGAAAGCAGCGAGAAAAGGGCTTGAAGACGTCTCCCTATCTCTCTCCAACCGAATAGGATAAATACTGTTGAAGCTCCTACTTCTATGGGTTAGTCATATCTCAGCCTGTAACACAATATAAAGCGTCTATCTACAAAGCAATATGTATTGCAAGTGTTAAAACTTCGTTTTTAAAGGACTACCTGCTGAAAAAAAGAGTTGTATCAGATTAATGAAATAGATCTAAATCATTTTTGAGTAAATTCATACCTGAAGGCAAGTAAATTCTTACCTGAAGGCAAGTAAATTCATACCTGAAGGCAAGTAAATTCTTACCTGTAGGTATTCTGGGATCAAAATCATGCCCACTATTTCCACAGAGAAGGACAGTGTCAATAAGGATAATCTGGAGAGTTTTCTTGGAGCCAGGTATATTGAAGATATGGCTATGATAGAAGTTGGGAAAGTTCCATCTCTTTGACAACCTTGTATAGTCGATCTGCCCGCTGACGTTTCTGTGGTGGTCGTGATTGCCAGCAATGACATACCATGGGATCTGCAGTGATTTCGCTGCGTATGCCTTTTCGAATGTCTCTTCAAACCTAATGCTGCTATCGTCTTCAACTCCATCAAAATAAAAGTTGTCACCTTGAAAAGAATACGGAACGATGTAGGGGAGTGTGAAGAATTTTTCAAGAAAAGAAACACAGTTATAGAGTTTCATAAATGATGTATTTATTTGATTGCTACTGGTATTGTAAAGGTTTAGATTTCGATTTAACTGCTCCTGATGTAATCATTAATTCCCACTTTGTCTTGTGTCTTGTCTAAATCCTGAAATATATAAATATGTCTTGTGTCTTGTCTAAAATATAAAGAAGCTAATTAAGGCCAACTATCTATAAATAATTAGTATTAAAGAAATATATGATACAATATTGAAAATGTTCATGCAACGACTGATATGGTATAGCGCTAAAATGTTTAAACTGTGAACGGAGGTTTTAAACTGAAAACCAGAGGTTTTATTCGTTAGAAACATATAAATCGATTTGACAGAGGGATTGTCAGCAGATTTATAACAAGTGGGACTTTTTATTAAATTTTTTAATCCATTGATATCCATGAAATTGCTAATTTCATCATTTTTCTCTTCCGAATTTAAATCTCCAACAATGAGGAAGTTTTTGTATCGAGTAGTAAGTTTGTCAAGCACTTTGCCCATCTCTGCGAAGAAAAATTTTTCACATTGAGAATGGGGGCGGTAGGTACTGATCAATGCCCATTTTTCTTGCCCACATTAATTTCAGTTAATACACATTCAATTGAATTGGCGATGTTCACCTGTTTAATTTCATTCGCTGGAACTTTTTCTCTGATATTTACCAGAATCCCACCACCGTTTGTATTTCTATCATAACGGAAGGGTTTTTTGAAACCATCAATTAAAAACTGACTAGTAAGAAAGGATTCGTTTAATTTGGTTTCAGAAACTGCGAGGATATCAACATTTTTTGCAATCAGGGTTTTGAGATCCTCTATTTTGTTTCGGATTGAGTTTCTATTTAGATGTGCCACAATTAGGCCTTTCTTGTTCTTGTTCCTAATAGTTGATAGTTTGGCAAGTGGGTTAATATCTTCGGTATCAGAAATAGCAATTTCGTGGGTATTAAGAGAGGGTGGTCCCTCTCGGTTTTTTAACCGATTACCGAGATTGCTGGTCGGGAATCGGTTCAAAAACCGATTTTCTAATTTCTCGAAATCCGTTGAAAAGCCATGGGGGGGGAGGGGAGGTGGGCTGATCAGATCGATTTCGATTTTTGCACTTGCCAAAAAAGCCACTGTTACGAAAAAGCTGCTTGAGAAAGCTGCTTGCCAAAAGATTTCGAAATAGATAAAAAAATACTAAAAAAAGGCTTTTCCAAGAGTCTGAAGGGCGTGGCCGAGAAAATTTGTTTTCATCCACCCCAGTTTTTTCGAGCTGGCGACGCCACTGCTTCCCAGATCTTTATGCAAAGCTAAAATTAACAAGCTTGATCTTTCCTTCCTCTTTTCCTAACCCCTCCAACTTTTATCTTGTCATTGGCTAGGCTATGTATAGGCCCCCGTTCCTTTTAATTGCATCACCAAATAAGGCTCTGTTTATATGGAGAAAATAGCCTCGGATACCCGATGCTAATTTCTGGTAAGGCTATTTTCAGGTTCTGTTTATATGAAAGAAAAATAGCCTCGGCTTACCGGGGCTATTTCAATTTGGCGCCAAATTTGACGCCCGATAACAGCTTCTGAAAATGACTGACGTGTTTCTTTAACTTTCTGTTGTATCCTAGTGTACCCAATTCTTGTCATCATCATCATCATCATCAATTAAATTAACTAAAGTACAATTTAATACTTAAATAAGCTCTTTACATCTAAATGATAGATTAGAGCTTTTCACGGAAAAAGAAAATCAATTAATTAACAGCAACAACAAGTAACAGTACGAACATGATTGAGCGACAACTATTAAATTTTATGTAAATTCAGCCAAAACAAACAACAACTACAACAAATAGGAAAGAGAAGCAACAACTACAAGAAAGAACTTAGTCTGCTTTACAGGAGGTGACCTGCATTTGTTTTTGGTACCTAAAAATTTCCCTTATAAGTCTTGCAATATTGGCCCAGAGTCTTTTATTGCTGTCTGTTTTGTCATCAATATTTGATCTTTTAGTATAGACGGGTCTTTAAAAAAATAGCTAGGAATGTAATCAATTCTTATATACGAAAAAGTACGGCATTTCAAGAGTGTTTGGAACTCTTCTCCGATTTCGTTGGATGAACACATATTAGATATTCTTTGATCATAACTTATTTTGCCCCATCTGCCTGTTTCTACTGCCAATTTATGGTTTGCTGTTCTAAACCAAATTAGGTATTGTAATAAATTTGAAAGAGGAAGGTCAAGATATTTTTCCTTTCCAAAATTTTTCTTTATACACAAATACATTTTTCCTTTATTCGACTCCTGCATTTCGCTATTCCATTTATGTAGGAATTGGTCCTTTAAATTAGTTTCAACTATTTATATTAGTTTCTTACTGTTATTTACAAAATGATGGTTCCATACAATCGAAATGCCAGTATTATCAAACAAACTCTTGATTGATTTGATCTAAGGTATTTTTTCCCAATCTCGTATTAAGACAGAATAAAGAGTATAGGAAAGCTTTTCTTGTTTACCATTTAACACCTTGCCCCAAAAATTAACCATTCTGGATTTTATTTTAATTGATACAGGGACACGACCTCGTTCACCATATACCATATAAATTTGTGTTGATTTTCTGAGGCTCATCATTAATTTGTAAAACTGTAGCTCTAATTGATCAATTTAGTCTAACTTTTCAAATCCCTATACCTCTGCTCCATAGGTTAGGATCGGTAATACTAATGAATTGAACATTTTTAGTTGTAGGTCTATTGGTCATTTTTAGTTCATATAGTCAACAAATGCACGTTTCCCCTTACATAGAAAATAATTCACGATTAAATTCAAGTTGAGAATATGGTCAGTTGTGGAGTAACCATTGCGAAACCCGGCTTGGTTTTCTTTTAGCAAGTTTTTCTTTTCCAGGTGAAAAGAAAGCCTTTTATTAAGGAGACCGGTAAAAACTTTACCTAAGCAGCTTACAAGTCTAATACCTCTGCAATTGTTGGGGTCAGATTTTGATCCTTTATTTCTATAGATAGATTTTGTCTTGTTAGGTCATGTTCTTCTTTGCTTTGTTTTATGTAAGCTGCTTTTTCATCAGCTGTTATTTCAATAACAGGCTTGAAAGGAGCTGTCTCTTCCGGGAGCCCAAAGAATCCAGAATGTATTTTCGCCACTTCTTTGTGAATATGTGTATTTTCGAATACGTGTATTTTCGCCATCGAAATCAGTGTTTTGTATGCAAATTTGTTTTTATAAACCAGCAAAATGTCAAGGAGTTCCTTTATCACTTTCGGTGCTCCATCGAAAAGGCCTTTTTTCGATTGTTCTGGAGCCTGGTTTTACTTCTCCTTTGTCCGCCCATCTGGTTTGGGCAGTGGTGTAGTGCTATCAAAATAACAAGGGGGGCTCTTGCCCAAAATGTTGCGAAAAACAATAGCAAAAGTAGTGATCTGCCAATTTTCGGCATCAACAAGGGGGGCTCAGCCCCCCTGAGCCCCCCTACCTCTACACCCCTGGGTTTGGGCCATGCACGAGAATAATGATTTGCGCTTGTTCAGTATCTGCAATTTTGTGTCGGTGAAGTGAAGCTATTTTTGTTTGGCGTTATATAAGAAAAAATAGCCTCACCAAGCCGATATATCGGCTCGCTCAGGTGAGATATCAGCAGTCAAAAATAACCTCACCACCTGGTTGATACTATTTGCGATACTCATATACACTCCACTCTTTTTTTATAAGAACAATTTTATAAGAACACGAGCCTCAAAACTGGTCAAAAATTAAGAACAAATTAAGAACAAGCTGAGGCTGAGCTTCTGCAAAATGCAATTTTGAACAACGTTTTTTCTCAAAATCAAGGATTTTTAGCGATGTATGGGTGCTTTTTCGGTGAATATTCAAATTTGTCAGCAAATTAAGGCTGTCTCACTCACTTTGTTGGCAAATGAGGCCTGAACACCTCCTTAGAACGAAAAAGCTAGCAATATCACTGCTTACACCCTCTTAATTCAAGAACAAATTAAGAACAATCCAGCCTCAGATTTTCGAAAAAATTAAGAACAGTCAGCCTGAACTTAAATTTACTGGTTCTTATAAAAAAAGAGTGTAAACGTAAACTGAGAATTACATTTTTTGTATAAGCTGCCGATATCTCAGCTTGGAAAATAACCACAGGTAGCCGAGGCTATTTTCTCCATATAAACAGAGCCTGAAATAAAATTTTACATACCCACGGCGGAAGTAATATGTCTACCCCCACGGTGAAACGCAAACACTGCAGCGCCAAAATCACTGTTTATTGTTTCCGATCAACAATAGTAGTTGGTTACCTACATGGCTAGTTGGCTGAGACGAATTACCATGTTGAAGCGAGTTTCCGGGTGGAAACTAATTTGGGAAAACCTCGATGAAAGCATGTAACAATCTTTCATATTTTCTGACAAAAAAACAAGGGACATCTAGATCCATTTTGTTATATATCATTCATTGCATGCATGCGTAAAAACTAAATTCCAGCCAACCTAACAGCAGGCATAACATGCACATCGACAAAAAAAATCAAAATACCTAAAGCAACGACAAATTGCGAATTGCGCTCTGAAGAAACTTCAGCCATCATATCTGCCACACTAACTTCTATCGGCGTTCGGTAAGGTGGAGATGGGGAGCCTCCCCAATCTCCCAAAACCAGAAAATTCAACTCGTTGTCTTTATTCCAAGGGTACCCATGGCGTCGTGCCTCGAGAAGTTTCGCTGCAGAGAAGATACTAAACGCAAACACCAAGCAAGTCCTCCACCTTACAAACATGTCTTCGCAGTTCTTGTCCTTATGACAGACGAATAGCATTTTTCGAACCTCACACCTTGCTTTCAAACTCGTTTTCCGGGAGGTCACTCACATGACAATAGTGTTGTCTTTGTGGTTTGGGGATGCCAAAATTATTGGTCTATTGTTCACCATTCAATGAGGCATAGATCGTATTGTTCAAAGCACTTCTAAGAATAATAGCATCGGATTCCTTGGTTTTTCTCATAGATATAATTTTACTCCACTACACTATGTGTTGCAACTTGATATCTGATGTGCATTTCTAATCAGGGGCGGATCCAGAGAAAATTTGAAGGAGGGGCAGTCGGTAGTGGGAGCGCTGTAAAATTTTCAAATATTTGTGACGAGAGTACGCTGTATACAACAATTTCAGATTTATTTTCAGAATAAACAACAAAACTTTGAGGTAATCCTTGAAGCAAATTAACCTATCGGTCTCAAAAATTTTTCACCTAATTCTCAAACTTCAAAAGGGGCGCGCAATTTCCAAAAAGGGGCGCCAGACCTGCCCCTAGTTGCCCCCCCCCCTTAAATCCGTCACTGGTTCCAATCAGAACACTGATCGGATATCACAAATAAATAAGAACTGAATGCTACTACAACAAGTGCACCATTGAAATGTAAATGTGGTACGCTGTTTCCCAATTTTCTTCCACTAAACTCAAAATGGGACGAATTTTGGTCACGACGAATTTTTTTGCATTTAAGATTTTTTAGAATTGGCATAGAAAATCTATTATATGAGGTCAGAAATCAAATTTATGTATACTTTTAACCCAATCAATGCCAACTTTGCCACTATCCTTATTTACATCGTCTTTATAATTGTCTTTATCGTCGGCACCATCATCATAATCATCATCATCATTGTAGCCAATTTTAAAGAATTCCATATCATTCTTTTTAATCAACTATACTATTTCTTTCATTCGTTCAAGGTATTTGCACTTTTCAACCCAAATTTTCAACTCTACAGGAAGCACTAATTCGAGGCCAACTTTTCCTGCTAGAAATGGTCTTATGCTTTCCGAATCTTATACTTATATTCACACTTACACTTTTAATTTTACTCTGTTTATACTATATAGAAAAAGAGTAGATACTCTTTGAGTGCTAAAATCATCTCTTTTGATTTGCCTTGGCACAATCTGAGAAAAAATATACCGCTTTTATTTCGATTTTCTGGAAACATTGTTCTGTGTTATGAAGCTGCCTGGGGGGATACCGTATGTCCTCTGTAAAGCCACTGCGTTTACGAGGGTTTTACAGGCTTGTGTTCGCAGATTCGGCAGTAAAAGAAAGTACAAAATTCAATAAGCGTGTTCTCATTTCTTGGCTCGACGGTTCTTATAGTTTCATCTTATTCAACAACGACTAAACGGGTCACTTCGGCAAAACTGGTATGCTTCAAACTTCTCGAAATAACAACGGCTATCGGAACATCTGAAATCACGTCTAAACTCTAGCGACTAAATTCAACGACTGAATTACTCAAAAGTCAAAAAAGCCAACAAATACTTTACTCAACAGCAATTAAGATAATTAGGACAGTTATACAAAACAGAACAAAGGAGCTGATCACAAGACAGGATGTTACATGGAAATTGGTCAAGGTGCGAACTGCGAACGAAAGTCAAGCACGCAAATGAAATTCAAACAGCAAACAAGCAAAAGTTTCCTTGACGAAATTCTGTCCTTTTACACCTCTAAAGATGACAAGAAAAGTGCGACGAAAAAAGATAAGAACATACAGAACATACTTCAAACAATGTTTCCTTTTTCCAAAAAATGAAGACTATGTGAAAAATTTTTTAAAGTTCACAAGATGTGTTCACGTTATAGAAATGTCAAGGAATGTCAATATCCCTGTCTCTGTCAGAGTCTTCATCTCTATGACATAACAACTTTCATAGCTTCCGAGTAGTAAGCGTATAAACTGCTCGTTACTCCTAGCTTGGTGTGTTTTCTAATGAACGCCGCATTTCAGGGCGGCGTTTAGCAGAGGGCGGCGTTCATTAGAGGAAATACGGTTACCGTAAAAGCTCTATTAAGCCCCCGGGGGCTTAATACTTAAAAACTTAAACTCAACTTAAAAATTTGGAAATTTTTCACATAATCTTTTTTTTCTTGCACTCTTTCTTGATTTTGTGGATCTTTTTGTCTGGGGTTTTAGTACCTTTCTGTATACATTCTGCTTTTTAATTTTTCTCATCCTGGGATCCAAAATATTTTCTGAGGCCATTTGTCCCGTGTTCCAATACTTTTTCATTCCTGTCACTGCGTATAAAAAATTTCCTTTCAAAAAGAGTTCCGAAAAAATAAGAACCACAAGACAGCAAAAATTCAAAAGTTTGGGATTTTCCATGAATGTGAAAGAGTGACTATTACGAACAAAACCTTTCAATAGACGCAAACAATAAAAATTTATCAAAAGTCTTAGAAGTCAAAAGTCTTCCATAATGAAAAAAGTACTAATAAAGTACTAAATAAAACCTCTTCCTAGCATAAAAAGTAACACATAGGATTCTATATGGGGCAAATTGATGCCATTGAAATGAAGGGGCTGATATTTTCAGCAGCAGATATTCTTTGAGTACTCAATGTCAATCTTTGTGTTTATAGTAAGAATGAGGTCAGAAGACATTATATCTATCAATCTTTCTTTAATAACCAACAAATTTAATGACATATTTCATATTTCGACTGATGAGCAAAAACTGACGAAAAAACTGATCGTGTATTTCAGCCTTTAGAAAAGCAGATCATAAACTCGCTGTCGAAATAGGGTGCTGGCTTAAGATTGATTATGAACTATAAGAATGTGATTCGGTTACAAACATCGATTAGGGGAATGTCTGATTGATTGATCGAAATAGATACTTTACCATAACTAACGCCCCGCCTAAGATAAGCAGCCCCCCCAAGAAGTCCTCAATACAGAAACTGGTTTTTACAAGAAGATGGGAAGGTTCTAGAATTAGCCTTGAAGGCTTTTTCTAGGATTTACGTTATTAATATGAAAAGATAAACATTAATGACATTTTCTAAGAAATACTTTGATTTGCATAGGGAATTCTCTGGGAACTTCGGTTCATTTAGGATTTTGCAGCTACTCTCCTTACGAAACATCTCAGAAAACACCTTTTTCGACTTATCTTTCCTTCTTTTCCAATTTTGAAAATTTGATAACCACGTTCTAAGGCAGAATCAGCGACTGGAAAAAAACTAATAAAATTGATGAGTCTGTCGATTGTTAAATCATACATAACGAAACTTGCTCGATAAAGATTCCTTAACGAACAGAACAATTAACATGATTTATATCACCATGAAAAGGCTGACAGAAAGATTACCAGTAATTATATTTTCTTCAACAAGTCAAATCAATTGATATTGTTGGGGATACGAGCGAGAAGTCTTCTAATGGTTGGGGCAACCTGGCGTAAAAGAGCATGCGTAGTGATGTTTAAGTTCTATGCGCATGCCTGGAGTCCAAAACGGGGGATCTTAACTCGCTCAAAATTCTCTCTAGTTCGCTTCCCTAACAAGTCAAAAGAAACGCTTGAAGCCACCTTATACGTATAGGAGACCATCGTGCATCCTCTTTCGTTATTTACAGTCTCTCACTACCAAAAAAGAATTTTTCTGCAACGTAATATTTACAAACAATAATTGAAATAAGTTCAACAAAGTATTTACAAACACAAACTAGACATAATCATTCAAAAGCTAATTTGCAAAATTTTCGTGGTACAGAAGTTAAAAATGGCTTGATTGGCCTATTTCGATCCACAACTGGGTATACATACGTAGAATTTTCGATCTTTGTTCTGACGCTTTTAATCTGAAGAGTGCAGACCAAAAGCTTTAGTAACATGTTTGAAAATTTTTGCTTTTTTCAAAGCCATTTCGAAAGGTTATTGTGACCTTAAAAACAAAGCTAGGGCACAAAGAGTTCGATGCTACTTTCCAAGAAAGAAATTATCGTTAAATAATACTCGCATGTTGCCATTGTTGCATGTTACCACAGAATAATAATTATACTGTGATGATACTTGCAGACACGTTGGTTAAAGAGGTCATATCTGCAAAAGATCGTCATTAACATCCGCATTAAAAAAAAGAACAATATAATTTATTGTAAACACATTGCTGGTAGACTTAGTCATATTTATAGAACTTTGACTGTACGGCATCGGTAGGCAATGGTTCCGGACTTTGGTCTAGCGAGATAGGCCATCTTGCCTCTTGTTGAAAAGGGTAGTATCGCGTCATTTTTATTCAGTGCTTTTATTTGGATTTGGGTAAAGGGGTTCTAGTGGGGGTTACGAGCTGCCATAGGGCCTTAGCCCCCTAAACAATCTGCAGGTGAATTGTTAGGTATCAACTTAGTGAGGAAATAAATTGATGGCACACTATAGTCCTGAAATGAGCACATCCCGTTTGTCGATGAATAAAAGTCTGCTGGACTAAAATTTGCTATTGTACCGATTTCAAAGGTACGATGAAATGGAACTTCGGGCGCTGATATGTTGGGAGTGTAGCAATAGGCAACACAGTTGCAGCTAACAAAATCATTAGTCTATTTCAAGTTCACACATTTATTCTCTAGAAAATTATACTTCCCTCTTTATATGTCTAGCTTTCACAATCCCTGAGAAGCCGATTCAATAAAATTTAAAACATCGATAGCTAGATTTATCTAATCGTGCATAGACTTGATCCTGCTTGGAATTTCCAAAAAATGACGTAAACTAAAGCTGACCCCAAATCAACAGTGTAATTAAAAAAAATTCTTACATAAATGCTCATTTCAAATTTTTAACCAAATTTATCCATATACAGCCGCAATTTATTTCTAAATGAATGTAATATAAATAAAATTTAAACAATCGGGGTTTTGGTATTACAAAATATACCACAAGTCGACGTTGATTTAGGCAACAAAAAGATTAGAAGACAGAGCTAGTATTTCCCAAAGAAATCATTTGAGTTCCATTTCAAACGCTCCTGGGAAGAATTCGAGCCTGCCGTCAAATTAAGGTTTATCAAATGACATGCCGTCTTATGTCTTAAGCCGTCTAACCCTTGGAGCCGTCTTATCTCTTCAAGGGCCTCTCCAGCCAAAAAAAATTTATTGACTAAAAAGTTAGCATCTGGTGCATGCATTATGGCAAAGTCGTTGTTTTTGCAAAATTCCAATTAGTTTAGAAGTTATAAGGCTTTAAAGTTGCACCTTTCCGAGAAAAAAACGACAAAAGCCGAACCAGTTTCGTGACATTCTGACGTCACAATGTGCGGCTCTCGTTCGCCATGAATTTCGTATAGCTTCCACCGAAACTTGAAGGATTCATGATCACGCGTTGATAACTGCATCTAAATATACAGCAGGAGCTTTTTAGGATCGAAAAATATTAAATGTTTACAATCATTTTAAGTCTGCGGGTCGGAATGTGTCCATGCTGTGTCACGACTTTGTTTTGATCACTGTGTAGGCCCACAAAGCTACGGCTTCCTGTTCCAGCTCTTCCCTCACGTATAATTAATCGAAATTGACACTTCAGTTGTTCTCCAGAAACGATGAACAACTAAAGGCTTCAGAATTGGTGTCTGAAATGCTCAAACTAAAAGCCGGTAGAACAGAACTGGTTACAGTTGGAGAGTACCATCTCTTGCAGTGTTCAATTTGCGAATCGCCGTCGTTCGATTCGGTTTGAGGCGAGACTAACGAAATGCACAGTAACGTCAAAATTGCGTCACAGTGTCACCAAACCGAAAAACTTTTGTCGGTTAATTCAATTCAATTACCGAAATGCAAGAGCTTATATCTTGGAAAAACTTTAAAAAATATCGAAAAACAAATAAAGAATTCGTGATCAGCAGGTTCAACTCCTTTAGATTAGCCAATAAAATGTAAGTGCAAAATTTGGCTGAAGAGGCCCTTTAAAGTAAATACAATAGGTGTTTTGGACAAAAAGGCCTTGGACAACTTAAAAAGCGTCCCATTTAGGCCCCGTTTTGCGCAGGCCCCTTGAACATAACGCATAACGATACTGGGGATGCATTAGTGTGAATTTTCGCCAAGTTGTTTATCACGATACGCTAATGCGCGGCATTTATATGACAGTTTCTTGCAAATCATCCTCTTTATGAAACTAACAGGCTTTGGAAAATATCTACATTTATGGGTGGTTGCTCCCAGCCAAGATCCCTGGAAAACCTCACAAAATCCACTTCTTGTAACTGATTAGCTGTTTAGTTACTCTGGCTCCAAATTTAGTCCTCGATGCGTGTCACGATCCTTGCCAAACGTATTTTTAGAGGCTGATCCAAAATCCTTGATTCCAGACCTACATAAATGATATCCAATCATGACTCCGAGGGTTGCTGTTACAAATGAATGACGCTTGACAATCGGGCGAGGTTAATTGACTAATGTATTAAAAAATAAACCCATCAGTGAGCCAGTAAGAGTTAAAAAATCCATAAACGGCCTCTCTGTCCACCTCTCTTGATTCGGGAGAATGACACTGTGCCTTTCAGGAACATTACCCAACCTAAAATAATAAAATCTTCATTTTCATAAGCCGTTCAACGCACGTCCTTAGCTAACAGTTTAGGTATATTTGTTTGGCAAAATATTTACAACGCTGCCAACCATGGCCTGCTCTTTATTATTGCCCTGCTCTGGCTGAATATTCTAAATTTAAAATTTCTTAGATATTTGCTCGAAAATGTTGGTTTCCTCTTAAAAGCTTCTACAAAATCCTTTTAAAACAATCAAGCAAAATTTTGGAGACTCTGGCTCCTTTACACGCCAGCAACTTACGCACCTGGATTGATCTCGCTTCAATGTGCCTTCAAAAAACACGTGCAATAAACCATGCTGTTAGGGTTCGGCTTTGACCCATTCCAAAATTAATATTACGACAATGGAAGAGACGATAAACCATTCCCCGGCGATTACGATACCCTGATACGACACGACACTCTGGTGCGACACGATACCCTGATACGACAATGGAAGTGGGATTTAAATGTTCCCGTTTTCTTGCAACCATAGTCGGAAAACCATTCTCCGGATATTACGCATTGTTATTTAGGGGTATGAAAAAACTTCACGTAGATCTAAGTGCCCTTATGAAGTAGTAGGTTTCTTTGATCAGTTCTGATCACGGAGTGCGCGTCTTTATCTTCTCTTCCTTCTGCTCTCTGTTGTCACCCAGTCATCTTCTGAGTTTTTACTCCATTTCTTATCAGTGTTCTCCAAACTGATCTGTCAAACGAAGATCTTTGCCATAAGTTTGTGTCGATATGGGATTCCTTCATATCATGCTTTACCTGGTCTGTGTATCTTAGCTTTGGGCGACCCAAATTCCTCTTCCCCATTCCTAATTCACTATATAGTAACTGTTTTGGTATGCCTTGTTTGTTCATTCTTTTACGTTACCTAGCCATTTCCACCTCTTCATTCCTATGATGGTTTCTATGCAATTCTAATTTGACTTTGTAAAATCTCTAGATTGGTAAACTGATCATGCCTTTTGATACCTAGGACTTTTCTACGTAAGCGTGTAAGAAAACTTTGCAATCTCTTCAGCCTCATACAAGAGAGTTGTCGAAGCTCTTTATAGAATATAGGCATTATAAACGGCCATTTTCTCCAAAACATGGTCCAAATGTTTCTTCTAGAACTTGATTAAAAAGCGCTAGGTAGAGGTAGATTATAATTTTGCCTTTGGAAAATTCACCTGGTACAAAGCAATGAAACGAGGCAAATGGGGCATGGTCTCACTGGCCACGCCCATTACCACGCCCATTACCGTCGCAGCTGCTTTATAGATTCTATATGATATTTCTTTTCTTAGATCTAAGACCAGACTAAGAATGAAATTGAAAAAGAATATCAAACAAGAATATGTTTGGAGACAGAATTTGACATTTGGCGGTGAATCCTTAGAACAGGATTCATATGTTTTTGATTTTGCATACTGGACCAAATGATCTAGTAAAGGTAGGTTATTTGCTCACAGCAAAATTCACGTACCTGCAATTACAAATAGCCACGTAATCCAAGGAAAAGCTGACAGAACATCAATACAGCAATCAGCGTGCTAAAAACAACATCAAGACTCGGGAAGTAAGTTTATGACGTAAAATGAAAACGTCTACATCAGCTTTATAATGGCCAAAAGGACAAAATTACGACAGTAACCTGCAAAATGTTTATAGCCAGGAAAAAAGCAGCTTATGGAATCCCTGGCCGAAAAAGTAAACACAGAACACAAAATATTCACATTATGGAAAAATTCACTGTATATGTTTAAGTTTATTTTATGTATTTCATTAAACGGAGTTGCAAGCATTAAATTGCATAATGGTCGTGATTACTGTTTTGAAACTTAAAAAAATTATAATAGTTTTAGGTTTCACGAGGTGATTGACTGTTCTGCAAAGCTTACGAAATATACTAGACATTGTATTCTCAATGTGTTATATAGAAACTGTAAATAATAAACAAATCTCTATGTTTTGGGTTATTATGAATCTATATAAGACAGACACAGTGGCGGACACTTGGGGGGCGAGGGGGGGCGAGGGGGGTGAACGCCCCCAATACTTTAGAGGACAATGGTCTTTTGTTCTAAAACAATGGGAAATGTGACGTCATCTTATTAAAACAATAGGCCTGCCCCCCCCCAATATTTGACCAAGTGTCTGCCCCTGGACAGACATGAAAGCAGAACTGCTTAAAATAGGGATGCCTACCTTTATCAAAAAGGCCCATTTGATGAGAGAAAGACCAAAGCCAGCAGTTGAGCCGTACTTGGCAGCATACGTGTTGCCAAGGCAGTAACCAACCAAAAATCCAATCCAATTCAATATAAAAGAAACTGAAAATGAGACAAAAATAGAAATTTCGACAAAAAGGTTTAACTCGAATGCCCGCATCTATTACTCCCCCCTTTTTGGTACTTGTCAATTTTCTCTAAGGAAATTCAACACAGATGAATCATCTGTATGCCTACTATGATAAACCAATACATGGCAAACTTGAATTTAAAGACATGATGGATTCAGATGGATGAGACCATCAAAGCAACCAAAATTGGTGAGGCGTTCTTTTTGCACCACTAGAGTCTCAAAAAATGTTTGTACTAATACCATTGACAATGCTGACATAAGTAAAATTACAAAACGCAGCCAATCATTAACAGGTGCATTGCTATACTTTCAAACTCTGAGATAGACAATCAATTATAAGCCTGTTGTTATGTGATCCAGATCATCCCTGCAAAATGAACAGAACTTTTCAAGAGAACATGTCATTGGATTGCCTGTGCTGAAGAGGAACCCAAAGTTTAAAGGAAAATCAAATGTACGGTGATTGCAATTCAAACAAACTTTGTATTGTACTCACAAAAATACTTTTTACTGAATTTGAAGAATTTTAAATTACAAGCTGACAATTAGGCCTTGTACATATCGGTGCATTTACAAATCTACAGATTTCATCAAATTGTGCCCCCCCAATACAGGGTAATGAGTGCATCTTAAAATGACTTCTGTTTGAAAACTGTTTGCCAATGGCACTGTACTGTAAAATATCCGCTCTAATTTCTTAGTTTTCAAATGCCTTCATTTTCAATTTTCTTGTTCTCACATTAAACAAATGCAGACATTTTAGGTGAGTCAGTGCGAGGTTACTCTCTGTATCTTCCCTTAAGCATGTTCAGTCTCTGTCATACAAGAATTACATGTTAAGTCATAAACTAATCAACTAGGTAGGTTACTTACGAAAGAAGAATCCAACAAATGCGTAATCAGACCCAACACTTAAGCTTGTAATTTGCTCTTCTACCGGTAAAGTGTACGAAACTAGAAAAAAGGTAAACATTTGTGATTTTTCAAACAACATAATATTTCATTTTCTTTAATCCTAGTTTACAAAAATATTCAAGATCTAAAAATGATGGACAAATTTATAAGGATATTCTCCTATTAGCGTTAGATTTTCCCTTAACAGTTGCTGAAGGTGTACTAGGGAATTCAATCATTTGACATGCATATATGCATTAAATAAACCATTCAAAATCTAAGGGTTAACGTACTTGAGCGATCTTGAAGTTCCAACTCGTCATCTGAGATTCCAAATATCTAAAAGAAAAAGTAAATGCTTAAGAAATAATTCCAACTGAAAACAGAAAAAATTAAGCAAACATATGAGCATGATCTAGAAAGATGAAGGTTGAAGCCTCCTTGACAACATCAGAACAGCCACAGTTCCAAGAAATCTTTGCTATTTCATTTAAAAGAATTAGATGCCACTTTCAATGTTACTGAAATGTCCCAGACAGAAAGTTTAGGAAAAGTCACCCGAGACAGAAAATTTTGTTAATCAATCACTTGAATTATGGACCATTTCAATGTTTAAAAATCTGAAAAACTTTTTGATAAGCTCAAACAGAGCTTTGTATCAAGGAGAATTTTTTTCAAAACAACCTGCAATTTGACAACAGGTAATAATGTGCATATGTAAACTTTGTACCAGAAAAAACATAATTTGAATCTTCAGGGTATTTGATTATCTAAGTATGGAAACCCAGGCATAAGCTTTAAAATTTGGTGAATTCTACAATGTTAACATATGCACATAATTACAGGTAAAGGTGAGTTCCATACTCGGTATCAAACTTTGGGGAATGTGCTGTTAGGGGGGCATCATCCTGAGCCACAGTATTGTGTGGTAGGGTGACCATTCCTTTCAATGCCTTTTAAACTCCCTAGAATGTTTCAAACCATAGTCAAACTGCAGGTTGTTTTAAGAAATTTTTCTCTTATACTTTAAAATTACAAAAATTTGTTCTGCATTGTCAAAGTAAAGATAAATTTTTTGAAGAATTTAAGAATGTTTAACAGGTACAGTACTTTAAAATATTAATCAAGTTTGAGCAATTGTGCTACTTGTTGTACTGCTAAGAAAAAATCAATATTCCAAACAGTGTGACAGATACTGTTGCCCCCCCCCTCAATATTTTGGAGGGCAATGGTCTTTTGCTATAAAAAATGGGAAAATGTGATGTCATTTTATCAAAACAATAGGCTCGCCCCCCAACATTTGACCAAGTGTCTGCCCATGGTTCCAGAGGTCCTGCTTGTACAGAACAAAAGGGATCAAGCACCCCCTTGACTGTAAAAAGGGGTAAGAAAGGGCTTTTTCTTTAACAATCATGTTCTTCTTGACATCAAACTTATTTAAAATGAAACTGTTCCCTGCTCTTCACATCCCTCAAACACGTCCCTCAAATTCTTTAATGATTTCAATGCTTCTATATCATTGACTGCTATTACAAACCTGTTGAAGTGCTGAATGCCTATGCATAGCTTCAACTTCATCATAACTTGGTGGCTTGACGATGTCATTATAAGATGGTGGTGTATCTGAAACAAATATAAACTTTCTCAATAAAACAAAAAAGGATTTGGTTTTGAAAGATAAACACTTTTTGATAGAACGATCAAACTCTTCCTAGAAAACCTCAAAACTGTCAAAGATGTTGCAAAATAGCATCTTGAATTGTTGGTCAAGAAAATTAAGTAAAATGTCATTCAAGCACAACTACAAAATGAAGCCTCAAGCAAAGAACAAGGAGCATTTAGGCAATTTTATCTTTAACATGGCCAGGAAGAAACATTGTGCATGACAAAGCTCTGTTTATATTTTTCATGCCAGATTCTGATATGAAGATTTTTTTCTAAAACAAATTCAAGTGTTTCCATATTTGATTTCATGGTGCAATTACTACTCTATTTTATAGGCAAATACCACTCTATCAGTATTGGTAAACTTCAAGTTGCTGTACACTGTGATGAATAAGATATGCAAAATCAATTGTTTTTTTACAGTTAATTAAAAGAAAACCAAGGGTTGAGTTCAAAAATTTAGAAATTAAAATATTTAGGCATTTGAAGCATTGATGTAAGTAAAAGCCTATCTAAATTGAAGTGCACAGTAGACTACCCTAAGTGGAAACTTAGTATTTCATTTTGAAACCACACTGTCTATCTACCCAACCTACGCCCTTTTGAATATTAAGATAAATTTGATAAAATATTAATTGCTAGCAACAAAATAAAAGGTGTTATATAATTGAAAACCAGGAAAAGCCAAACCTGCTATATTTTCACCTTGAATACCATGGTATGGAGGAGGTGAAGCATCTGGTGAGATACCACTGTCTGGATTTTGTGTAGGCTCATCTACGTCTTCCTCTATTGTGGACTGAAAATTAAGAAAGATTTTTTATTTTATCTCTAGGTTCCAAGCATGTCCGATTACAGGGTTCAGGGAACTGAGCCACATTTGTAATGTCTGAATAGGCATGTCCCCTTCCCAAACATCCAACAAGCATTGAAGAGATTCATTTTAAAGATATAAGAAAAAAACTTAAAATTGCAAGTAAAGTCTTTCTTAATTAATAGAGAGTGCCGGAAAATAACCGACCCGAGCGAGGCTCGAACTCACGAAAATAGAATGGTTAGCTTTCAAAACTGGCAAATAGGCCAGTATACTCTAAGTGCCATTGAAACTATCAGTAAAAATCAGTTACTATAGAGAGACAACTTTATTACAAATTATATTTTCATTACAATTTAGCTGGTAGATTCCCCATCTTGTTGCAATATCAATAAAACTATTATAACAATGACAATGTTAGCAGACTGGAAACTTTGTTTCTTGCCCAGGCAAGTTCAAGTGCCTGTCTGAGCGCCTGAAATCACACACTTTTAAAAAAAATTCTATAGTTAATTATATGAAATGTATTCAAATAGGGACTTTGCGTGGCCAAAATGCAAAAGTGCACAGATGGAAAATTTGAGTGCGTGGGCAATATATTGTGGGTATGTGACAAAGTTTCCTGTCTGGCAATGTTACAGTCATTTGCATGCATGGGCAATCAAGGGTCCTTTAATGTTCATATATACATATCACAAATATATCATTCTAACTATTTTTCAAACTGATTTTTTCCTGCTCCCCTTTTACCTACCTCCCTACCCCTTGCCAAATACAAATCCACAATACATAAATTAGGTCTAAACCTAAAAAAGCTCTAAAAACCCAAATTTTTCCTATGAAAAAGATCCTATGAAAAGGTATATTGGAATTATTTTCAAAACAAGCCCTGTTAGAATGATCTGGTTGACACAAACAAGATTTTCATCTTAGAGATTTATAATTCGCATTTTCATCACATTTTTCGACAGGATATAAGTAACTATTTTTTCATTCAAACTCCCTGAGCTTCTTATCTTCTGCCTTTTTGAAAATATGTTGATAAACCCTTTCAAAACGTTTCACCGTTCTGTCGATAATCTGTCATATCATTCAATACGATAAAACAAACAACGCCCTTGAGAGATAATACATCTCACGTTTCTGTAGCCTTTCTAAGTAGAAGAAAGTCTAGGCCGGTTGCCATCCTTTTCATCTTGACAAAGAGACCAAAGCAGATCAAAAGAGGCCAAACAACAACGTATTTATTCAAAAATATACTTACGTAAGGAGGAGGGTTTGCCATCCTTAAATACCTTTGTTTGTTGTCAATCAAATAATCTTTACTGAAATCTAATGACTGCAAATATTTTGACTTCTTGCCGTTGCCGTTTTCACATCCTGAAACCCATTTGTTTGATCAAAGATAACAGTTCTTTACCAGTCCCCATCTACGTCATTAAACAAAACGATACTCAAACAGGAAGAAAATATGGCATTATCTGCACTAAGCAAAATGGAAAATTTTCACCTAATCAAATCCCCACATTGCGAAAAGAGATATGGTTGACGATGATAAAGAGGGTGAAAACCCCCACCCAGGTATGACCCCATACATAGCCAGGGTCCTAAAACATATACAAATGAAGCCAGAAACTCGTAACTGTGCCTAAAAACTGTTTCTGTCCTAATGAAAGGCGCAAGCTTCTGCTCGTTTAGTTAGTCTGGTCAATTTTTTTCTCCATCCCATCCTGAACCAGCTCGTTTGGGTTTGGTAGTCCCGAAGTATTTCAAAGTTGTTGGAAGGGCACAGATAAGAATAGGCACTAAGGGACTATATGCCTCTTTTTCCAAAAGCTCTAAAAAGGGCACTTCTAGGAAAAGGGACATATCTAGAGAAACACTCCCAGCGTTCCCCGATGCCAGCATCCCTGTAGCTACCCTGATACTATGACACCAATCCACCTATTACCATGTCTTTTAAAATCTTTGTCAAAATACTTGGAATTTGTAGAAAGTACATAAACTAAGAAGTTCCTTATCAGGGCCTCCGACGGCTGGGCCATGCCCTCCACTCTTTTGCAAAACAATAAAGCTTTTCCAAATTCTTATGCAATGGGTATTAAATTTTCCCTTGCCTCCCCCCCCTTCCACTTTCCAAACTGCATCGGAGCCAATGCTTTTAAAAAAAGAAATGGAGCCCTTGCTGCAGGGTTGCTAAAGATAATTTTAGAGTTTTGGTGGACGTAGATGAGTTTGCAAACTTCTGAGGTAAATTGCCACCATCACTTTTGATGTACCAAACTATACTTCAGCAAAAAGTAGGGACAGTGACGTCGTGGCCGGGGGCCGTGGCCCCCTCTGTTTTCAAAACTTGAGATATTTCCGGAAAAATCACAGTTATGTCGTGGACGAAAGTCACATGGACTAAAGTACTTTCCGTATTGTCAAGGGGGAATTCACTTTTGTAAAGAAAATACTAGATTTCCACAAAAGTAAAATGATTTCTCTGGATTTACCAATTTCTGCCATAGAGTGATTTGCTGCTTGGATCTTGTCAGTCAAAATCCGAATATTGGTTATGGAAATTAGTCAATATTGGTCATAGATTGACATTGGTCATATCAATATTGGTCATATCTTTACTTGGTCTCATAGGTGGCGCTAGAAATCTTCCGACGGGGGGCTAAAATAACTAAAATGAGCAGTTTTTGTACGTAATTTGGCAAATTTGCTCCGACAATAACCTAAAATTTCCTCCGATGGGGGGGCTAGATGCTTCCGACGGAGGAGATGTTGCCCCCCTAGCCCTCCCCTGGCGCCACCACTGCTTGGTCTTGAAGACCAGGACAGTACAAGTTTTGTGCCAATCACCAGATATAAAAATTTTGTTCGTGATTTGAAAATTTATGCAGTTATGTTGCATTAGGTAAAACATTTGAAAACGAGAACAAGGAAGTCGATCAATATCATCGCTTTCCGCGAACTTGAAGCATTAAGATTAAAAAAATTCCCCTTCGGCGGAAACCATAGTGCCGCCTCGGGTAGTAATTTTTCTACCCTTCTACTGATCTATAGGGTTGTGAGGTGTCATGAACGTTCATAGTGGGTATGAAGAAACAGAGACAAGATAAAAAGTGCCTAAATATCTTTCCAGCTAAGGCAAAAGTTACCAGCTTTTCTGCATCCCCCTCCCCCATCTACACTTCGTCGGAAAATTGTTCTTTCTGGCCCTCCCTAGAACTTATCGGCCATGACGCCCCTGAGTAGGGAGCAACATCACTCTAGCCCCCCAGCTTCTCTTATGGATCAAAATTAATTTATGTTCTTTCGGGGAATCGTCATAAGCATTGGCGCTGTAGACTGTAAATTTTGAGGGGATATGGAGGATGGTGTAGTTTTACCTAATAAGAAGCAAATACTCAAAAAAGCAGTAGATATCGGCCCGAATAAGAGGGCACAGCCCCCTAGGTTCTATGCACATGAGTGGTAGAAAATTGAGACCTATTAAGAACATAAAACCCTGTTAGACAAATAAACATACAGCCTGGGCACCCTTTGTAAAGTCCACAATAGAATATGCTTAAATCTGGACGTTAAGCCTAGCGCACGCTAGCGATTTTTGTCGCTAGCGACGGCGATTTTTGTCGCTGGCGACTAAATGTTTTCCCCCATGCACATTTAAGATCTTTTCTGCCTTGGCCAATGACTTTTGGTCTCCACCTCGTAATGAGCCTCGATAAAAATGACCAGAAATTAACAATCAAACTTTTTATAACCCATGCATGTGCCTGGACATCCTCAAAAATTACGGGATGGGAGAATTTAGACAAAAACAATGAAAAATATTGCCAGCTTTGATTTAACCAGGCCACATTTAATGGCAAAAAATTAGGCCCAAAATTGTAGATTTAGCTTGGCCTAAATTAAGCTACTTATTTAATTTTCTTCTCTTTTGTACTGTAGAGAACCCAACACATGGGTTTTATGCACAATTTGTTCGTTATCTGTTTTACTGTTAGTTGCTAGAAGATAGTAAAACCTACATCGTACGAGATTCTTCGCTTTATAGGCAACCCATACCGCTAAAAGGATATATTAATAGAAGTGCAGTTTTTAGTGCAATGAGAGAGAAATCTTGTTCGTGTTTATCCAAATACGTTTACAAATAATTGAGAGCAGTAGTACCCGCTCATGGCACTAAGAGCACCAACAAGCTCAGCCACGGCCGCAGCTTTTGCCGTCCTATCGTCGTATTGTCGAAAGGATATGGCGTACAAGCAGGGTTTCCCGCGCCACAAATCGACTAACAAATCCTCTTAATGCGTTGTCCAAGAGAACGAGCATGTTCCTGTGACCTCCATCTTGTCAATATTTTTAAAAATCAACACACTTTCCACGTGCCTTGAAAACACTTTATGATTGGCTGATCAACAAAAATTTGTTTTTGCGCCACGCACACTTGCGATTTTCAGTTTTTAGTCGCTGGCGACAAAAATCCTGTGATGTTTTTCCCCGCAGACTAGCGATTTTAGTCGCCAGCGACAAAAATCGCCGTCGCTGGCAACAAAAATCGCTAGCGTGCGCTAAGCTTTACGTAACTGGTATTACAGCATCAAGATGTGTTCAATTCTACGAATGCCGCAATGAAAAATATGAAACTGGCATATTTGGTTATGTCTATCAACATCAATAAATATGTATATCCGTATGTTATGCAAGCATTGGCTAGGATGCTAGATGCAGAAAGGTCCTCCACGTTCTATATACATAAAATAATAACTAAAATGCTAAAGTCGTTAATTATTTTAAAAAATTTTCCTGGTACAATTTACTTACATTGATCGTTATTTAAAATGCTAAAGCTCTTCAATCCTTAAAAAACCTGGATTCTGAAATGCTTGTCGGAGATTTTGCAAATTATGCTCCAAGGTGAACAGGCTTAGTTTGAAACTTTTGAATACTGTTTATTTTTTTTGGCTACTTTGGAAAATTTTCACGTAAAAAAAAGCCATAGCTTTTCCAAACGCATTTACAAAACAGGGTGTTTTCCCAAAGTCTCAAGGTTGTGGTCAGCAAAAATTTTCTCCTCTTTGCCCATCCAACCTTCCAACACTGGCTACGCCACTTCTTTTTATCTACTTTATTATAAAGGTAAAAATCGAATTTTAAAAATGGGCGAATCTTTCATTTACCAGTGACCTGAAGGGTGTGTACAGAAATCCAATTAGTGTCTAACGCCCAATCATTGTTGCTTAAATCCGTCCCTGCTGACAATTTACTATAATTCTTCTGTTGTGTTAAATTTTTGCATATATTTGAAATTCTTATAGTTTTACCAAACGATTTCTTATATTTTGCGAACAAATTTCCAATCAAATTTACAACACCACAAAACGGTAACAAAACCACGTTAGAATAACCCCTGAGTCTTCCAGTCGCATTCTCTAAGTCGTTCTTTTAATTTCATATCTGAGATCTGACATTTCGTCGATA